GGGGGGGGGGGCAGCTGCCCTCCGCTGCCCCCCTCTGGATACGCCCATGTATGGACACATTTAGGGATTGGTTAGCAAGGCATCGTGAGGACAATAGAAATGAAAAGTTGTCCTCCCTAAATTCGCTTTCAGATAAATTTTCAAGTTGGGAACCTTATAGTACCACTTAATACGTACGTGAGTGAGATTTGGTGAGTGCGCGTGCGCGAATAATTGTTGCGATCCCCCATGACTGCGCCGGTGAGCGACGTGAGCGACGTAAGGTCGCGCCGGGCGGATTCGAGGGTGCCGGGGAGCGCGAATGGCCGGCGCGTCGCGCCGGGCCGGGCGAGGATGCGGGAAGATGGCGGCGGCGGCGGCGGCGGTGGAGTCGTGCGTGGTAAAGTGCGCCGACGTTCCGCGCGACGTCGAGAACGCGACGGCGGACAGGGCGGGCGGGCCGCGCGCGGCCGCGCCGCGTCGGCAGGCCGAGCTCTACCGATTTCGCGCCACCGACCTGGTGTACTACGCGTCCTTGATCGCTTTCTTTTTCGCGGACGTAGCAACAGGTGAACAAAGAGTGCCACATGTACACACACACGTGCGCGCGATAACGCGCGCGTGTGCGTGCGACACGGGGTGTCCCGCGGTCCCGGTTGACAGATCGGCACGATCGAGTGTCCTCGTCGCGTGAAACTGAGCGAACTTGAATCCGATCGCAGAATCGCATACTCCGTCATTTCCGGCTCTACTTTGGTCAAATTTTCCACGGAGATACACAATTGACAATTGCCGAAAATCGCGTGGCGAGTACGGCGAGTGTAAGGTGGAAATCCGATCGAGATCCCAGATCGCGAGACACTCCGTATACTTACGTCAGCTTTGTTTATGTCCACGGTGCTGATAAAAAATATCGCGATCGCGACTTTGTAGCTTTTCTTATCATCTTTTCTTGTAAAAGTTTCAAGTTATTCTGGATTTTATAGTAGAAGTAATAGAAATATTGAAATATTAATGCGTAGAGAGTTACATTTACAATACTAGGTATTTGCATATTCTTCACTATACTACGAATGGTAATTATCATTAACGCTGTAAATAATTATAAAGGGAAATCGCGATACTTTTCATTAGCACCCTCTATATGCTTTTTGCACCGAAACGTCATACGATTAAAAAAAAAAAGTTTTGCACACTTGCTGAAAGCATGCGCTGGAAAGCTTCTGTCTTCGTAAACCGAACACCTTGTAAGATATTTTTCGCACACACAGACAGCATTGTATGTGTGGAATACCTTTTGCAAGGCCGCTCAACGTGGGGATGCTTTGCAATGGGTTTCACCGTCTTACCCGCTTGTGTTACCCAACTATTTAGTTTGAGATGGCATCGCAGCGACGGTTCCCTGCGGACTGTTCACTGGTTGTTGCACTTGCTGCTACTCGGCTTCTTGCACAGGTACTTTACGTTTGTTTTGGCGCAATCTCGTCCGCTGGATTGCGTTAGCCACTCATTGTCAATAAATTTATATGTACGCTGACAATATGTATGTTCTCTATTAGTGACGGTCGCGCTTATCAGTTTACGCTCATTTTCAGGTACTTGACTTTGTTTTGCATCGCGCTGCATTCTTTGAGAAATAAGTCGACCTTCAGCAAGGACAAGAATTGGGTGTATCGGCAAGAAAGCGATATATGTATGTTGCACTTGTTTGAATCGTTCATGGGGGCTGCTCCACAGTTGATATTGCAGCTGTATATTATTGTGATTTTGAACCATGCGCCACTTTCGACGAGTAAGTATCTCCTTCACCATTCGTAATCGTTATTTTATTTTTTAAGCACACTGCAATTGCAAGGGGAACGATGGAGATTTTATATTATATAAAATTCAAGAAAAGAACATAGAAGAAGGTCCTCTATCATGAGGTAGGATCCTAATAAGAGATCGCGGGCTTTCTACTACATTGATAGGCATCTGTTGGTTCGACTATGAATTTATTGCTCTTGGAATGAAATCTGTTTAATAAAAAATTCATTGTTAGATTGTTTAATAGTTGCGAGAAAGGATTTGTGATTGAATTTGGATGTTGATGATGCTATCTCATATTAGAAGCCTATCTCATAATCGGTGACTTTCCTGTACATATGTATATGTTTTAATTATATATATTTAGCACAATGTTTTAACAAGCAAAATGCTTTCTCTGAAAAAGTGAAAAGAATTTAAAAAGTTCTTACGTTACATCACATTTAAACTGGCACGAAGATTTAACACTTGTACGTCTGCCTGCACGTCGTATGAAAATTGAGAGCTGCCTGTATAAATATAATCGACGAATACACCAACAATATTAAACAGATGTGTAGTTGAACAATTTATAATCATTCTCGTAAATCTTGTAAACCTCGTCGAGAAGCGATCGCGATATTCCACGGATGTACTCGTCGAGTACTTTCCTGGTGGTCGCGCCTAGAGGATTGATGTTTTGCGAATAATCTCTCTCGTACAGGTATTCGCTCAGATTGGCATCCTGGATGAAAAAGTTGTGATCCCTGTCTAGAGTCTCAAACTTAAGAATGTAGTCGTAATTGATGGTGCAGGGTTCGCAGGTGCGATAATACGGCGTCCAGTGTTCGTCGAAGTACTTCTCGCTGACTATAAATTGCAGAAATTCGGCAAACGTCGGTTCCAATCTGCTCGTCGTGTTACCGGATTTACGGTATTTGAACACGATACGTCGGCCGAAACGTTTGTAGTAGTATTCGCGGTTCCGCATGTGCTCCAACTTGTCCCTGTACGCGGACAAGAGTCGCTCCAGCGGGTGCCGCACGATCAGGAATTTCTTCGTTTTACTCATCTTCTAAAAATCGAATGTAAACTTGCGATTTATCCTGTCGCTTTGCCCATTTAAACTTGTCGCAAGATTTAAGGAAATTATTGTATCTAATAATTTATTTTGTTTTATTATTAGGACTGCTTATAAAGAGATTTATTTTACAATAACATATAAGACTCTTTCTCTCTCTTATCCCATTTTTAATAGCTACGACTTTATATGACGAATCAATCTCAGATTTGGGGTTTAACAAAGTACAACTCCTACCTCGTAGGTTCTATTAAAATCCGCATCCTGTTGAAATTTTTGTCTCACAATATCGCTGACCTGCATATGATTGCGACGCACCAAGTCTATTGTAGCATCCGTCAGAGTGCCCTTCAGAACGGCAAAGTAATTCATCCACGTGGAACTCGCTGCCTTGTATATAGGGCACCATGATACGTTGTGCTCTCTTCGAATTAAAATTATTTATTTAAAAAGTTATCCAATTTTTTATCATTCAAACGCGAAAATCTGACAAATCGGACAAAGATATTTCAAGCCTTTCAATCTAAATTTCTATTTTATGCTCGATAAAACGTAAACGTAGGTATGTAATTTTTGAAAATTTTTTCAGCATCTTACGCGTCAATAATCATGTTCGTCAGCGCGGCATCCAGATGCGATTTCTTCGTGTCGATCGTTTCACACACACGTGTCGCCCACCGCCTTCTCATATCCAATTCACGCTTAACATCCTCCATCTGGCCCCGCGACATCGGGGCTCGCAGCATTATTCCGGCGGCACGTGCAACAGGCGCGTATTTCGGCGATGCATACCTCAGCGATGCGGCTGGCTCTATGTTTGTCTCCGTGTGTGAGGTTTGCGCTAAATTCGCCAGTATCAACAATGCGACAATGCAAATAGTCGCTAACGCCGCGACTGATTCCGTCACCGTGACTTGTCTCTAGAAATTTGTGGCAGAATTTTTTCCTCCGTATGAAAAATCGTTAAGAAATGCGGAAGAATTATTTGAGGGGAGTACGATTCATCTTGGGACACTTTGTGTTCCTACCTGCTTCAGTAGAAAGAGCTTTTTCGAGTAATTAAAAAGGCTGGGTTTTGGTAATCTCGAGTAAACTATCGAATTTCTATTGTCATTCATTGTCACGTTAAAATGCCGATTAGTATTTTGTGCGACGTGTGCATCGTGCCTCCTATCTTGTCACTTGTGTAATTCACTTAAGGTAAAACACCACTCGAATAAGTCGCTAGAGAACACCGCTGGAGACTGGTTGTACCGCCGATGTTGAAACGTGAATATCTTTAAATCTGACGAAGCGATACACTGAAGCGTATTCTCCCGTTTCCTTTCTCGTATTCCCGCCCGCGCAGATAACAGGAAAGAGGAAGGAATATCGCTGCCAGTTTATCTGTTTCCGAACAATGTGTGAACACAACGACACAAGTTCTACGACGCGAGGGACACTCGTCCTCCTCCACGGTTTTAAATATAAAAGCGACGAAGCGCGAAGCGTAGCGAAGCGAAGTCGAAGCGTATTCAAAAATAGCCGAAAAGAAGGCGGCAGCCCGTCGCGGACAATAGCCGCGGAAAAATATAGCGGTTCGTTTCAACGTTTCTTTTTCTTCTCCATTTCAATCTGATTACTTCCTGATTTTATTTGATGAACGATAATGATTATATATATTCTCGATATTATCAAAGAGATTTTCTCGAAAGGAATTCCTTTAACATTATAGGCATAAATTATAATAATTCATACAACTATACGTAAATACCCTCGAGATTCATGTGTTCATATTTAAAAAATATCAATGTTAGTGTTTTCTTGACCATACCTGGCATTTTTAATAATACCGAACATTTATTGCGAAAAATATTACCTCAGCCAGGGTTTGAACCCTTTTTTTCTCCGAGAACAGGGGAAAACGCATTTACGCGTACCATCAGGCCGTCCTGGATGGTCATGTCTAGGACTTTCCCGTGAAGCGGGAAATACCGGCTAAAAACCCCTCTCCTTGGACCATCCTCTACAAAGGTACACTTGAGGAGAGCCCCCCCCCCCTTTCGCAATTGCATAGGAATCACCATGCTTTAGGTTAATGGTGAATAATCAACTAATATTAGTTGAAATACTAGCAAAAATGTGTTTTTATAACGATACTTGTGTATTTGCAGACCTAATATCGTTGCTCTAATTAAATGTAATATATATGAAATTTGTACAGGTGCCTCCGCCGTAGCTTCCTTCTGCTCCCTGACGTTGGCCGTGAGTACATACGTGAGGGCCATGCATAATATAAATCGCGAACGCAGCAACGCGACTTGGGTTGCTCTCGCTCTTCAGGCTCTCTGGCGCGGCGGTATGCTGCTGTCCAGAATCGGAGTTCTGGTACTAGCGGCTGTCTGTCTGGGAACGTGGTTCTTCTTGTTCCTAGGTGAGTTTTGCCGAGAAATAATTTTATAACTAAAACACGGGAGTATTACGTTGAATAATTGTAATTGTCTGCTTTAAATAAGGAATCCTAATGTCAGTTTCTCTGGATGATGAGTTAAAATATGTTGAGCTGATCGTCCAAGTATCTCACAATCAGAGTAAAACACACTGTTGCGTTATTTCCAATTTTCAACAAACTGCGCGTCGTTTTCTAGGGCTGCATTGGTTTTTTATGACTGCTTGGGTGATCCTACAAAAGACAGAGTTCTGTCCTACCATATGGGAGGAGCGCATCTACAATTGCATTATCGGACTAATCTATTGCTTCGACTTCTTCAACCTGCGCGATGGCAGATCGCGTTACCGCGTGCTCTTCTTTTACTCGGTGATCACGGCACAGAATCTGGTCTTCCTGATCGCGTACACGTTGCGTTTCAAGGACACTGTTGCGAGCGATACGATGATCGCGATCGCGACCGTAATAATCGGCTGTTTGCTCGTCGGCCTGGTGAGCATGTCGTTGTATTATGGCAAGTTTCACCCATCAAGAACGGTGGCGAGCGTCTCTCGAAATATCAGCGAGCATTCTACCGCTACAAAGGTTGACACACCCAGGTCCTTGAAGCTGTTTCATCGCGGCTCCTTGGTGTCGTTGCATCACTCCATCGACATCTCGCCGAGGACTGAGGAGATGCCCACCGACAAGCAATCTTTGCTTACGAATATCGCGCAAATTTCCGATTGTGCGGAGGAGGGCATCGTCAATCGCAACTACAGTTCGGAAACCGAGTCGAACGCGAGCGCGGTGCGTGTCTCTACCGAGTGCGAGCACAGTCGCGTCGGCACCAAGCACAAGGAAGAGGTCGCGTCGTCCAACGACAATCCGGACAACGCGCTTATCAGCAGCGCGCCATTGAATTCTCTGTATCAGGGCTTGCCCGACATCGACTCGTCCCGAAAACGCCGCGGCATTTACGAGCACGACATCACGCCGCAATTAGACTGGCACGCGCCGGACATATTGAACATTGATCTGGACCAGTTCGGCAGTCTCGACAACTCCGAGCGGAGCAATTCTCTCACGCTGGATTCCTGCAGTAAAGTAATCGGCGCGTTAGACGCTATCAAGAACAGAGGAAAGCTGACGACCCCGACGCCGTTGGAGAGCAGCAGGATATTCGATATAGAGAAGGTGTCGAAGGACCTGCAGCAACAGGTCTAAAAATATGTTACTTAAAATCTATAACTTGTCGCTTTCTTCGTCACTTTGAATTCATTACTTTTTGCTTATCACTTCGTGATGTTACTCCCCCTTGACGTATATCGTTTCTCTTACAGCAGCGGGACGAGACGATGAGCTGCGTAACGTCCATCCACGACTACGAGAACGTGTGCCCGCTAGGAATCGCACGGCCGCCTTGGTGCATCCGCAGTTGGAAAGGCTACACAGACATCGAGACGTATATTCACGACGATAGCGTGGTGCGCGATCGGCGGCGGGACACTCTGACGAGCACGACCGGTACAACGTACAGCTCGGAATACTCCGACGGCATGATTTCGCGAGGGATATTAAAGCAGGACGATTACGCGGATGCTCTGACTTACGACCTGGTAGAGTCGAAGGGCAATAAGTCGTCTTACAGCGATAGCACGTTCTCCACGTCCGCCGTGGACGATCAAAACGCCAGTCTATACGTAGCCAAACCGGTGGTGTTCGACGACCGAGGTGGCATGCTCGCGTTGGATACAATTTTGGAGGAGCATGACGACTCGTCATTGACGGACGAGCAGTTTCAACATGGGACGGAACTATCGCGCGACTCCGCGAGCACCCTGGTGAGCACGATAGATCAGATCAGGCGGTATACAGCGGAAAATTCGCCGCGACATATCTACCACACCACTGGAACTCAGTGGGAAGACCTGAATCCCAAGAACTTGGTGGCGCGGGCGCGCTTTGCCAAAGTGTTGTTCGACAATGATCTCAGAAACTCCTCAGCGACGACTGGTTCGATCGATCTGGCCGCACGGGACGTTGAGAAACGCGAGATAGACGCGATTAGAGAGTTCGTTCGATGCTGTGCGATAGAGTCCATCAAGAAGACGCCCTTGATAGATGCTATTTTGTCAGACTCGCCGATTTTGGGCAGCAGGGCGAGCAAACTCGTGCGACAGGTCACGTTTGTGGATCGTAAAAACGATTTTGACGCAAACGAGAGTGACTTGTATGTCGAAATGAGGCCGTTGGTGTCTGTCGAGAACGGCGAGAATTCGTGCCAGACCAGACCCGCCGACGCGAAGATCGCCGAGGCGGAGAGCGTCGCCAAGAGAAGCGATCTTTCCATGATATCGAAAAAATCGCCAGACAAAGAAAATCTGTCGCCGATCTTGTCAAACAATAACGAGCAGATTAATAATATATACGATAGCAGGGACAGTAATGATAGGCACGCCTGGACCATAGAAAGAGACGAAAAGAGCGACAAATCGTTATGCAACATGCGTTTCAACCTGAAGGAGAAGAGGCACTTATTTCTAGAGCAGGTTCTCTCGCCGGTTCCAAAACTCTGGAACAAACGTATCTCCTTTCATCCGAGCACCAAAAATTTATAGTGAACGGGCTTCTCGCTTCGGTCACTTGTGTTTTGTTGCTGAAGATCGACTCGAAACTCATTTTGTGTATCAAATATTTTATAGTAGTATTTACAACGAGTTTTGGTACGTATTACGGCACATTTGCAGCGATTTTGATTCACGTTTTACAACTGAATCAAGTGGAACAACTCACTTTTATCGAACCAAAAATTTCTAACAAAGGACTTTCCGATTTCTTTATACTCGGCACTGTTGTCTTTCATAGATGAAAATTGAGTGTCAGCTCAGTTTTATCTTGCTCAAGTGCTTTTTTCATTTATGTTTTATTATAGGTAATCTTTATAAGATTTTTTTTATAGGAATTTTCTCTTGCGTCGCAAGTTCGTGAGATACGCGATAAAAAAGTAATCGTGATCTGTCATAGTACTGGATCGTCTTTTATGAAAATATTAGTTTTGCTGCGAACGTTATTCGGTTACAGATAATAATTTACTGCGGAAAAGAGTTGAGAAAAACACACCACAGTACAAATATTGCAATATATATAACGTCACTCGTTAATTAGGCACGCATCTTAACTTTTATCCATGACTAAGCTGCATCGCGTTTACCTTTACAAATGGCATGAACGCGATGTAAGCGTGTGATACGCGCCGTCCGATTGTTGTGAGAGATAAAGCTATAACGACTTAAGTCTGCGCTTTTGCGATCAGTGTATATAAAATGACTTATTGTACATCTCGTACCGAGATTATTTTTGTACGCAATTTTTTACTATATACAATAAAGAGACTCTGTGTAGTGAAAAATCTGAGACCAACCACTAATAATTAAGTAATAGCATAGTATAATTAGTAGGTCCACTCCGTCATTTGTTTCGTTTTGCGTCGATCCTTTCTGCGTATCCGACATTGCTCTGGGCAGACCAAAGAGAGAAAAGTTGTATGTGCGGTAGTGTGCGCAAAGATGAAAGGGGCCGGCAGAGAGCCTACTAGTTATACTACGGTAATAGCGTTATTATATTATTGTAAATCGGAAAAACTATCTCTCGTAGCTTGATATTTTGATTTGTGAACACAGAATTTCAAGTTATGACTTGATATATCATTTCATGTATCGTAACGTAGAAAACATTTCACGCTTGTGAAATTAAAAATTCGGATTATTACGCAATTATGCAACATTTTCTTTCAGATACAGATTTTGTGATATCGGCGATTAAAAAATTGTTGAGTCTATCCAGACGAACTTGCTTAGGTTCACAAGCATATGCGTAAAGAAATTGCAAGTGCGTCTGGATAGACCCTTCGTTATATGCCACGTTTCATCCATAATTGCATTGAAATATAAAATATAGTCTATCTAGCAAATTATCTACGCTCCTGCGCAATATGCTTTATTGGTTTGTATTTTAGATTCAAAGATAGAATTTTAAACGAAAATTTAATTTTATGTTTCACACGGTACTTGTTTAAACTACTCTTTTTACAAGAACAGAAAGATTGATCTTGCAGGAAAGCGGCAAATGTTGCGCTATAATAAATTTAATACATTTGTACCCAAGGAACATTGATTTTTGATTGTCGATTCTAAATAAAGAGTATCCTGCAAGGAGTGTTGGAGTCTAAGGGGGAATGTAGAGCATAGTGAGCGTGAAACGCTACAAAACGGAGCGAAGGTATCGTGCCATCTGGCGACACGCGCGGCAAATCTATGCGAGGTGAGGTTAGATTAGGTTAGGCTAGGTGGAAAAATTTGTCGAGAGAAGCGGTGGCAGAGCGTAGGGGCGAGTGCGAGCCTGGCCAAGCCTGGTGGAGCCTGGGCGTCCTGACACAACCCGAGGGACCTTGTTCGCCGTGACGTTGTTCCGCCCTGTACGTTGCCGCTCGGTACCTCGCCATGGTCGATCAGGCTGCCGCGCGTACCGTCGCGACGTCGCGATAGCGTGCTGCGTAAGGAGCGCAAACGCCGCGGACACATCCGTGCCAACCACCGAAGCACATGGATGCGACTAACGGACAGAAGCCCCATGGTGAGCGAGGTCTTTCACTCCGAGGGGAATTTCCTATATCTCGATTTAGCTACCTAAATCTTGAGAATCATTTTGCGACACGTAAAATTTCGACGAATTATTTCGCTGGCGGTTTAATTAATTATTGATATATGCCCCCTCTCCCCTCCCTATTAATGGTGTATCAATTTAACAAGTTTACAGCGCGTAGCCGTGGAATTGTATCTATATAATATCAATCTCTTTCATTTCTGGCTGGATTCTTTAAGTTATCTCATAATTTCGTGATAAAATACGTCCTTGTTGATCTGCTATATATCTACAGGATAATTAGTGTGTATAGTAAAGTAGCATATTTAGTGTCGGTAATACCCTCTATACACAGGAAACTCTTTTACAGTGGGGCAACCTTCAACTGGAGGGGTATCTACCTCTGACAAGGGTAAGGAGTGGCAAATGGAATTGCTGATGGAAAAATTACGCTCCAAGGCTTCTACATTTAAACCTTTGGTGGAGACTGCGAAAAACATGCGCATGGCCATGTTGGTGAGTGATTTCTACTTGTACCTTTTGCCATTTTGAGACTTGCATCAGAGTGTAAATATGACTTGTTGATAAACAGGATAAACGATTCGCAATCGACAGCATAGAGAAGAATCAATTGCAGAAGTGTTTGGACACCCTGCAGCATTCTATCAAGGTTACTTCCTTCCAGTCTATGGTAGAACGTTTAGAAAGTTTGGCAAGGCAGTTAGGGTGAGTATTCGTCGTCCAGTAAATCCAACATCTATTCGTCACTTGGTAATTCGTATGTCATAAAATAAATTGAGTTTAAACGTAAACCGTTATCTCATTACACAGATTAAAGTTCATGATGTCTGGTCCTCCAGGCACGGAAATATTCATATCCTCCGACATGTTCTTCTTGGAGGTCTTATTAGAGCCGTCAGGGCTTGTTAGAGATGTTAAAATCCATCATGAGGGAAAAAGTGAGCAGCAGGTAAGAACTGCAGACATATTAATTCTTTTTTCTTGTTACGTCTTTAATGTTTCTCATCGTTAATCCTATTACAGAGTTGCGAAGCGCTCGCATCGGTTTTGTCGCGCGGTGACTTTGTCGATTTTACCACGCAGCTGGAAGGATTGGCGTCGATATATCAGTTGAACGCTGATAAGAAAGTTAAGTGTAAGGCATTCAGCGCCCTGCAATCCCTCGAGGCTGACCTGGGTATTTTGGCACAGCTGCAAACCTTCATGAAAGAGCCATTCAATCTGGTCCACAAGAGTCCTGTTGGTTAGTGACTTGACTGTACTAGTTTTTACATAATTTCTATGACACTGTCCGCATAGATGCGTTATTGTATCTTCTATGTTATTTACTTGTGCACAAGTGGATTCGTCGTTGTATGCGATTCAACGGTACGTTATTGTTGCGTAGGAATTTTGGAAAGAAGAAAAGGTGGCCACCCGATGAAATTGACGTATTTTGTTTCGCCATACGATTTGATTGACGAAGAGAATCGAACCTACGACACTCTTAATCCTGAAACTATCGTTAAAAGAAAGATCGGACACTCGGTAACCGTTTGCATGGAAGGTTCGACAGGTCATAAACTGCCTACTTCTAGTATTATAACTGTAAACCGAAGTCCTACAGGCAAGAGGTGTGTAAGATAAAACTGAATCTTTTTATTATTTCTTTATATATTTCTTATATTGAATTGTTCGAACATCAAACAAGCATAATCATATTTCTAATCATATTTTCGTCAACTTCTTTTTTATTGTTTGTTTATGTATATCTAATCTGTGGTTGGTGGTTGCTCCCTTTGTTTCCCTTTTAGTTAGCGAAACACATTTTGCAGACGCATAAGAAAGACATAAAGAGAAAGTTGGTTGATCAAAACATATTTGTCGAGATTTGTCTGAAATCAAAACGGCTAATTGTTGCTCTGGCAATTAAAACAAGTTAAATACTGACATCTGAGTAAAAAAACTCAGTATAAAACGGCTAAAGTATAAAAATATAATTTCTTAGTCGTGTTAGAAATGCATATTACGTTTAACGTAATTCTGACGAGTTTGCCGTAGATCTTCCACACGTCTATTTTTTTCCGAACCTTCATTGCAACACATACAGAAACTATGCTAATATTAAACTAGTGATTGCTATAAAAATGTTTTCTTACCTTCTATGTTCTCATTTTTTTTCTATTATTTATATTTCGAGTTTAGAGTCGAGTTGCAATGAAAAGAGTTGGTGTCTCTTTCAGTACTCCTTCGTACGCTCCGTTGACCAGTACAAATTCCTCCATGTTGCCTGCCTGCTTCGTGTTGAAACTCGGCAAGAAGATGCCCATTTGCATGGAGTTGGTGAAGAGGATACAGAAAGTCACGGAGCTCGAATGCGGCGACATCTCCGCGCCGCATCCACTGCTCAGTTTGATAATACAGCACGCAAGCGATGGCCAGCTGGATTGTCGAAGCAACAAAGGCTTATATGTGGTAAGTGACAAGATTTTAAAGAATGCTTTGCACTCTGCGACACATTGAGCAACTCTCGCTTGTAGACCCTGCCGGATCAGCAACACTGCTACTTCATGACGGAAAACAAGAACATGGAAGGCGTGCTGGTGTGCAGTATCCCTTTCACGCATCCCGCGCACGTGCCGCCAATTCTGGTGTACCTGCGGCAGCAGGCGCTGTTCAATTGCCTGATCGCGAGCTGCGTGCGGCCCATGGCACGCCAGGATCCTGAACATACGACTATACTCGAGGTAAGCGCCCTTTCGTGGCAACACATCAGCGTGAGCGTGGAGCATCCGTACGAGGAGTCAATGGCCACCGCGGAACTGGACCTGACAGACATATCTACGCTTAAATGCCGGTTGTACGGCGTGAGTATGACAAACGCGGAACAGACATCGGATCTCAGCGGTAGGGTGCTGCAACGTTGCCTCAGCATCCCGTTGACCATGCGAATGTTGCTGAAAATTTGGGAGGGTCGTTCTTTGCCCGCAGTGATGAACAATCTGACCAGCGGTAGCGGCAGTAGCAACGGTAGCTACAATCTCAATCTAGGATCCGGCGGTAAGGATCAGACTGGACAAAACGCGTCCGGCACCGCGTCCGGCATGCCGGATTTTACGAATGGCGAGACAAAAGTGAAGCAAGAACCAGGTTTGAATAACGGCAGTAACGGATGCATGGGAGGCAGGCAAGCACAGCAACAACAGCAATCGTCATCGAGCCAGTTGCAACAGCAGCAGCAGCAACAACAGCAACAGCAGTCTTTTTTAGATGCCGGAACGGAAAATAGTATCGGTTTTCCGTCGTATTCCGGCCAATCCGATACGACGACGGTGACGATGGGCACCGCTGGGACGAACAACGCATCTGCCTCTATGCTAAACCCATTGCAGCTTGGTGCTTTGCTAGGACAGGCAAAAAACTCCCTGGCGGGTAATTCAAGCACGAATGAGCGCGGCAAAAAGACGCGGAAAAGAAAGGCAGGCACGGACGGTCTTTGGCGTAGTCCCAAGCGAAAGAATGACGGCGGAGACAGTAGCACCGCGACGGAGATTCTGCTGGAGAGCTCGAGCTCGGAGAACTCGACGCCGCTGGGAACCCCCACGGGCGGCCGCGAGAATCTCGCATCGGAGACTAGAACATCTACACCAACCTCGGCCACTAGTTTGACAAGCGGCATAGATTTTTCGAATTTGGACGCTACCGATGTACCCGATAAGAGTGCCACGGATTATGATCTCGACAATTCCGAGAGAGACAGCGAGATCATGGAAGTGCAAGCACACAGCGGCCCGGAGCAACAGCAACAACCGCAACAGCAGCAGCCGCAGCAAGATATCGAGGAGTTGATAAAGATACGCGAATCCTCATCATCGCGCAAGTCGAAGAAAAATCGAAGTGGTGGTGGTGGTGGTGGTAGTGGTAGTAGTGAAGAGAAAAAATCGAGCCCAACAAATATCTTCGTCGACGAGACGTCGACGACGAGCAGTGGCAACAAAGGTCTGCCGGTGCCGCCATCAGTAAGTATTACTCCGATCTCGTGCGGTAACCTGGATCAAACGAGCACCACCAACTACAACTCCGTATTGACGGGCATGGGTTTGGAAAGGAGACCAGGCATCGAGATTATACCCATCGCCTCATCGCCGTCGCAGACTAGTCTACCAAGCTCGATCACCATCACGCCGATTGCCGGCCCGACATCATCGTCAAAAACCAGCGGCTTAACGAGCGCAACGGAAGACCGGCAGCGAAGCGAAAGGAAGAGTGGCGGCGGCAAGAGCAGTGGCAGCAGTAGTAAAAGCAGCTCCGAGGATAATAAGAGCGGCGGAACCAAGATAGAGAAACGACGCAAACGTAAACGAGAGGACAGCCCGATGGGTCCACCACCGGACAAAGTCCCGTCAGGTGGCAAACAGCAGCAAGACCCACTCTCTAAGCCGGTGTCGGTGAGTATCAAGCCGAGCACCGAACAATCACCGCCGAGCGGTGGTAGCACTGGCGTCGGTCTGAGCTGCTCATCTTCGCGGCCTACTTCGCCCGCAGCCGTAAGGAAGTTCAGTCCGTCGCCCACGAGTTCACTCGCCACGCTCGTAGGTAAGTCTAGTCCTACCTTGAAGGTGAGCCAGACGGCAGCAGCAACCTGCGGCAAACCAGTGCAAAGCCCGAAGCACTCACCCGTCTACGGCAGCAGTCCGAAGCACAACGCGTCGAACGTCCCGGTGGTTCCTATGTCGGTCCCGATGTCATTAACCGTGTCTACGGTACCCAACACAGTAGGCAGTATGCCGTCCGTGGCAGTGTCTGTACCGGTCCCAGTACCTGCTAGTGCGAGTCCGAAACATGGCAGTACCTCATCTCCGAAACACGGCAGCTCGGCTGCGAGCAGCGGCAAGCCCAGTATGTCCGCCTTGAAATCGGCAGCAAATTCGCCGTCTGGTAAGAGCAGTGGCAGCAGCTCTTCAGACACGACGGCAACTTCATCCAAAGTCAAGTCCTCCTCTTCGTCCTCCAGTAAGGATTCTTCCAGTCGTGGAGATAAAGAGAGACGAACGTCATCCATCGGTTCGTCTGGCGGTTCGGGCGGTGGCCATCAGAGTCCCAAGACTAAGTCCTCCAGCGGTAAGCTGAAGCAGCTGGAGTTGATCAGTCCCGGCGGCGGTGGCGGCGGCGGCAGCGGCAGCGGCAGCGGTAGCGGTAGCGGCGGCGCCGGTGGCGAAGCTACACAGGTCTCCTCTCTGCAGGCCTCTGGTGGAAGCACTCCACCATCTGGCCAGGTTGACGCAGCGAGTAAATCTGCGATTGCGGCCCAACAGGCACGGAATCGCAAGAGTTCTCTCAACGCTGTCATCGATAAACTGAAGAACGCGCAGCATTGTACCGAAACCGATACCTGTGGGAACGGTGGCGGTACCGTAAAGAGCAGCGGATCCTCTGGTCTTGGCGGTAATACTGGCGGTATAAGCAGTACTGGACAGAAAGAGAAGAGTATCGGCAGCAGTGGCTCGTCATCGTCGAGCGGAGGGAAGACTATTGTCGAGGGTGGCAAGTCCTCTTGCGTCACCAAAAATGCGTCCGTGGAGACGAAGAATCCCGCCGAATACATGGTAAAGCACAGCTCGGACGGCATCAAAATTACCATCAATAAAACTCGTACCAAGGATTCAAAACAGTCGGCCGCCAATCTAAAGCTGACGTCCTCGGGAACGATGGCGACTGCGACTTCATCATCGAGCTCCTTGTCGTCTGTGGCTTCTTCGTCATCGTCGTCATCGTCGTCCGGCAATGTAATCGCCGGCAGCAATGGCTCGCCAAAAACACATACGGGTCTCAAACCTGGCGTAAATTCCGGTCCGGCATCGAAGAAGCCGCAAACGTTGCAGACTTCACAGAAATTGTTACCCACGAAGATGATGTTGGCTGCCGCTGGCATAAAGTCCGCCATCTCTTCCTCGGGTGCGACGAGTACCGGCGGTAGTGCGGGTATCGCGTCCGCAACAGGCGGCATCGGAGGAAATCCCCTATCGAAGGGTTCATCCTCCAAAGCTTCCGGTTCACCCAAGACGAGTTCCGGGGTGACTGATCTGAGCCGTGGACGAGACAAGCCTAGAATTCCAAAATCCGGTGACAAGGGAATATTTGCGTCAAAGAGCCTCGGCGATGCCAGGAAGTCGAGCCCGTCCGCACTGCGGGAAGAGAGCGAGAGCGAGCGCGCATTCAAACTGTTGGCCGCTCACGCATCTATTTCCAGCCTTCCGCCAAGTCTGCCGCCTCAATTAGTGATGGAGGGCTTGATGAAGCAGCTAGACACTAAATTTCAGATACCGAAGCTGTCGGCCCGCGCAAACGTCGCGGACACTACCGATAAGAACAAATCAGACAAGTTGTCGATACTGTCCGATTCTACCAAACAGACTCTCGACGGTCTGAAACAGGAACAGGGCAAGATCGCTGGTCTGTCCAACGTCAGTATGTCGGTATCCAAGTCGTCGCTATCAGACGACCAATCGAGACGGGACCATTCGCAGAATAAACCGGACAATCTGTCAATCTCCACGTCCGTCGCTGGCGCGATGTCCTTGAATCTCGTCGGAGAAAACGCTGGTTTGATGTTGCCTCCGCAATCGGCTGCCGATTCAGATGTACCTACGAATCTGTGCATTCAACCGATGGTAGACAACGAGCCTTCCCGCGACTCCTGCAAGGATCTGGGAATGAGGCAAACATCGGGCAGTCAGCAATTTCTCGGCAAGATCGACGATACAAGCGCCGGTGGAATCCTCTCCAAGGGCAACGTTCCCGATCAGTTGGCGTCGTCAGGCGCCAAGTCCTACGCAACGATGACAGGTTCCAGCGCTTCGACCGCACCGAGCGGCGCCGCAATCGTTGCCGAGAGTCTAAATCTGAGTACGAAGCCTGCCGACCAGGCAGCTCTGCAAACCAAATACAATAAGATCACCGAGGAGAAGAAACAGCAGATATTATCTACGTCATCATCGTCGTCTTCCTCCACGTCATCATCTTCAACCTCATCGTCGTCATCGTCGTCGTCGATTTTCTCGTCCTTGGGTAGCGCTGCGACTACGTCAGATGGTAATCCGAGCGTCGTCATGACATCCGACAGCGTTGGCGGCAGCGCTGGCGGCACCGGCAGCGGCAGTGGCAACGGCAGTGGCAGTGGCAGTGGTAGCGGTGGAGAACAGGAGGTAGCGGCAGCCGCGGCAGCGGCGGCAGCGGAGATGCTACTGGATTTCTCCACGGCGAATAAAGATCCAATAACGAAAGGGAGTCACGGCCTGCCGACGTCTTTGGCTCAGCATCACCTAACGACGATTCCAGAGCGGGCGATGACCCAAGCCGCGCCGACGGTGCGTCGCAATACACCACCTCCGCCGCCACCCCCGCCGCCACTTCCGGCTCCGTTCCCGCCCGCCGCCAGTCCGTCCGTCAGCGTGCACATCGTCAAGAGCCCGGCACCGAGCCCCCGGGTCATCCCACCCTCGCCCCACTCGTCCGCGTCGCCTTGTATCACCGACGACGAACTCATGGACGAGGCGCTGGTCGGTATGGGTAAATGAAGATTACTCAAACTGTAAGCCAAGACAGAATACTCGCTTCTTTCATTCTTAAACGTTCTAAGACCAGGACAGAGGAGACCCACCGGCAACGGGAGCACTCCCAACTTTTCTCTCCAAATTATGTATCCATCTTTTTCTCCGAATTTAGAAATTATTCAAATATTCTCTTTCTCTCATTCTCTCTACTCTGGTGGACCACTCTATATGTGTTATCGACTAGATTTTTAATTGTAGTCTCCGCATTGACCTGTTGAAGCTCATGAATGATCGTATTTCGATAGATTACGTTCGTTGTGACCGACTCGAAAAAACTCATATACGAATATATATTTCGTGTTTCTGGGACGTTCAAGTCGATGTACTTTGAAACTCGAATGCGAGAAGAATGCTAGAGTGGTTTTACTTTCCACTCTGAAAGATGAATGGAAGTGCGTAAATATGTATAATACGTATGTATCATAGAAAAGAGCGAGAGAGAAACTGCGAAACTAGCGAGCGCGGAGATGAGTTTTTGTCGAGCAGAATCATAAAATTTTTACTGTGTAACGATGATGATCGATAGAAAATGAGTCTCTCCAGACTGAACTAACAAGGACAAACGAACGAACATAGTGAAGCTTTCCTTTGAAGAGAAAAGAGATAGAGCATGTTTATTATTGTAACTGATTCTCGACTCATTCAAATTTGCGACACTGTCCGCATATATCGATTTCGCATCAAATATTGTGGCGTCAACGCGCAAGAATATATAAACTTAAATTTATACGTATATATAAATTACTTCTATCTCAATATAACAAGCTAATTTTATTTAATTCGAGAGAAGAGAATAGAAATTTTTATTTTAATCTTAATATTGATTAATTTTTATACTGCATGAGATTGTAATAAGTTTAACTATGTCAAAAATATTGTTTGTCTCGTTATCAGGAATCCTTTTTGAAAGGGCAAAATTAGCCCCATATTAAGTATTCTCTAACACTGCCAAGTGTATATCGATCGTTTCTAAATTTCCTCAAGAAAGGTTGCCATTGTGTCCTTTCTTTTTCTGCACGATCTCTCCACGAGAGCTTAGATTCCTGCCAGTATCCTTCGCAGTCGCTTCGTGTCTTTTCTCGGACGATTCTTTGAGAAGAAATTTCATTGTTAATGATACGAGGGAGAATACCGGCTGCGTGATGCGTGCTTCTGTCGTCAATGTGAGCAAGAATGTTATAAAAAGGCTGTGCACAAAGATGAAGAAAGAATGCGGAGGAGCGTATTGCGACATCTTTTCCTCCTCCCATCTTCTGCGTCTCCTCTTTTTCCTCCGAAATTCAAGTGCAAGCGTGGCGTGATTTGTACAAGGAGCGTGTTTTTCTATTCAACCAAATCTATAGAATGTGTGACATGAATTTTTAGTATAAACTAATGGAATATTTCCCACTGCAACAGAGAAACGAGAAATAAAAATAAATTCCAAGATAACAGGGTAAGGTACTGCGTCCTTTGGAAAACCAAGAAGAAATATGTAGAATTGCGACCTAGATCAGAAATTTAATGATGAAAAAGAAGAAGAAACGTGAGGTCCTTATGACAAGGCGAATATTCAAGAGGAAAGAAGATCTTTCGAATGGCTGGTGGGAAACGAGGCAAATTACCGATTTGAACAAGAGTGAGGAAGGAATAAGAATACCAAGTCTAGCATACATATTTAATAAGTGTACAAAGCCGTGAATTAATTTTACTATTTTCCTGTATTTAGAAGTAATACTTTGGAAGAGGTAGTTCGGGATCAGCGATCTTGCTGATCTCGAAGAAAAAAAAACGAGGGAGAAAATGAAGGAATGAGTCCGCTATTTATTAGGTGTTCCGGAATAAATGCTGAGAGAGAAAGAGAGAAAGAGAGCAGGGGAAGAAGCGTTTTCCTATTCTGGGTACAAAATTCATTCTTCCAGACAATCGTTCGCACATTCTTATCGACGAGGTATCTCATGAAGATAGCTCGTATGCTGCAAAGGGCATCGTTCAGCAAATGGAATTTTTCTATCTAGTTGCTTACCTTATTCCAAGGTAAGGTATCGGATAGCAAAAGCTCATTGTTCCGATTAGTCGTTAATGATTCTTAGAGCGGTGCTGTTGATAAACGTTGCGCTTCCGCATTCGTTTTCGTCGCACATCTTTTTCCCGTAACAACAGTGCGAAGATTTAACTGTTCGACTTTTTAAATCTTCGCATTGCTTATTAAAGATCACGTTAAATCGTGCGTACATGTACCGGCGACTTCTTCTATTGAAACATCAGCGGGAAGAGCATTTCCTCTATTTCAAGATTTTCTCTTGGTTCTCATTCCTATTCCAATAGCATGTATAGAGCATGAAGATGTCTTTTCACCCTTTGTCTCATTGTCAGTCACAAAGTTTAATGTTAATAAGAAAGAGATAGCTCAATTAGGAAAGCTTGGAATAGAGGATTACATTTCGAGAAGAAAGAAAAATTGACGTGTAGCTTTCAAGATCGTTAATTATATCGCATCGCGACGTACTACGCGACTGTCTCAGCGAACGAGCGCAGATTTAGGTACAAATGTTTATAAATAAGACATGTACAACTCCATAAATAAGATATGGTAACTTCCTCTATTTTTCGATCGAGTAAAAATTGGAGAAAAAGAGAGAATGACAGAGAGATGAAGAGAGACGGTGAGAGAATGTGTGTCGGCAAAAGCAATTCTCGTTGTATAGATTATTTTTGCGGATGACGAAAAAGTAGTTTCGTCGCGGCATCGAGATCGAAAACGGGAATCAAAAGTCGTGTAAAGTTAAAGGAAATTAATGAGCTGTGTATATCACATGTACGCGTGGACGTGTACTTGTCTCCTATTTTTTCTTGTCGTTGAAATTTGTTCTTTGTAAGCGTGAGATAGAGAAGGAGAGCAAGAAAAAGGGAGGAAGCATGAGTTATGTATATAATATATATATAAATATATTATAAAGTGAAAAAGGAAATATAAATTATGGAGAGGATTGTACATGTATATCGACTGTATAACATAAATTAATTTGTATAGTGCGGAAGATATACGTACGTCTTCTTCGTTGCCATGCGGAAATTGGGAGACGTATGTAAAGCTTCGATTATAAAAATTATCCCTTTTTATATAAACTCGCGTGTATTGTACTTTTAATGACTCCACTTCCCTTTGTACAAAATTAATTTAATTACAATTAACTTGACATACAAAATATCGAGCTCCAAGAGGACTTGCGGCCTCTCTCGATATACCGCAAATTTTCTAAATACAGATTTTACTTCTATCAATTAAAATAGTTGTAAATTATATAACAATTTGTACACAATTAACGGTACTGCTTCGCATTCGATAAGTTATTCATCTTTTTCATTTTATCCTCGTGCCGCTTATTATAAAAAGCTAATATTTTTTTCCTGTAAATAGCACTGTTTTCTTTTCTAGTTGCTCTGTTAATACTACGAGTCGAATCGTGATGCAAATTTAATGAAATTTAAAATACTCAAAGAAGCAACTGGAAACGAAGCTTGGAAGACACATAAGGGAAATCTGAAATAATAAATAAACGATTCGATCACAATCTAGCATTTTCGAAAAACTACGTTAAATTAAGAATTTTCACCAAGAAAGAGGAAATAATCGCTTCGCTTGACACAGTGCAGCTTGAAAATCATGTGACAAGTTATGACAACCAGATGGGTTCCAACAAAGATGCAAAATTTTCGTCCGTTTTGAATTTACCACTGGCTCGGCGCAAAACGTACAGTTATCTGGATAATTCAAAAATAATTCAAGTTATGCAATTTCATGCATAGAAAAATTACCGTTCATTGACAGTGCGTCTGGATCCTGGATTAGTCCTCCTATTGCATGTTTTTGTCAACTATTCTTAGCTTTAGTTTAACACTAAACTATAATAATTACATAAACACGCACGCAACACTTTTTACAAATATTGTCTTATCAGAGTACAGGCAATACGAAAAGATTTTTGTTCGATGAAAAAGCTTCACCAATGCAAATGGAACAATCCGCGTGACAAATTATGCTTGACAGGACCAGCTTCGCGGTATAAACAGGTCGAGATAGTAATTGGAATGAGGTGGACAGTTGTACCGAGCGTAAAACTCCATCGAATACAGACTGACCATGACGCCGTTGCCGAGGAACCAGGTCACCCACATGAAAAGGTTGCTAGTGATGATTTTACGGACGAAGAACATGGCGAAGCCTATGCCGCCGAATAAAACGAACATGACCGGGTAGAAGAAGCCGAATGCGAATGCGATTATGTATTCGTGGACGATGGCGGAAACGAAGAATACGGCGGTGGCTGCCAGTGTCCGGTTGCGTGGCATTACGATCTCGTACATATCCTTATAGATGTACGTGTGTAGCCAGTCGTGCACCACCAAGTTCCATGTGCGGTAATACGAATGGTAAGTTGTGGAGTTCCACCAATCCTGTAGTATAATAATTCATAAAGCTGCATTATTAAAAAAAGTCAACAATCCACGATAGCTTCCGAAGTTATCGGAATTGGCCGGTACATTGGAATGGAAACATTTGTCTCGTAGCTATGCGTCTCTCGTGAAATTACGTAAAGTTTCATTGGAGTCAATTTTAGAGCTTCAAAACGTGATCTGAAAAGCTTGTACGATGTTTCGTGTTTCACGGTAACTTCTCGAAGCTATTACGTATATTAAAGCAATCGCCTAGTTATTGTATGCACCGAAGCTCTTGTGTACATGAAAGCTGTCAGTACGTTATATTTCATAAAAGGTTTGCGATATACGCACCTTACGTATAATTTTTGCGAAAAGGACTAACAAGTACTAAAGACGATATAAACGGTATATTCACCTTGTAAAATAATCGGTCAGCAAACCGCAGCATTTCCGCCCAAGCGTTCAACCACGCATGCAGCAGGAGGTATTGTCCGGTGACGAAGTAAAGAATGCCGGGGATACTAGCCTCGATAATATTCTTGACGTACCACTTCCGCTCTAGTTGTTGTGTGCCGAACGTAACGTCGATCATAGGTAATATGAAGTGTTCAGCAATGAAGGCAAGATAGAACAATGCTAAACCGACTTCAATGAAATTTCGAATCACTACCAGCCACCTGATTTTTTTCGTCCTGAGAAAACAATCGTGTTCAAATATACTTTTTTTTAGGTCTCTTAATATTAACTTAATTATCGAAGATTACAGACTTTTGTTTTAACATTTACGTCTGATATCGTACATTTCGCGAACGGTCTTTGAAGTTTTTTTAAGACATAAATTATGAGCCCAGAGTACTGCCAAATAGCGACTTAACTTTGATTAATTATGTAGCTATAGTTATTTCCTTTATCCTATAAGTAAAAGATCAGATTGCGACGTCCCTGAAAAAAATCATGAAATATCAAGCTACCTTACCTGGGATACTCGTCGCGGTACACAAGAGTCGGTGCGAATAGGAAGTACAAATATTGCGAGAACCTGGGAATGCTAGGCCGCGGTGTTTCGTTGTGGGGTTTGTACGACAAAAACCTGGGTGCCACGCTCCTGACGAAAGCATGACTCTTCATCATCATACGTATCTAAACAAGTAAATATCGTATCGAGTAGAAAGAATTCTTCTGTAGTGAATGTTATATACAAGATAAATTAAATTCTTCTATATAATATTATGTATGAATTATTAAATATTAACTCGTTTAAATACGAATTAATATCTCTGTTCTAGCAGAAACTCTTTTCTTATTCTCACTAAACGCATATACAATTTATCTGCATATGTCCCGAGACTGAACGTCCAGTTATTATACACGGTTCTTGTTAATTCAGGGAAAGAAAGTCTTTGACACATTTATCAATTTGTGCTATAAAATGTGACGACATGAAAGAAAATTGATTTACTTTAATCTATACTTTGCAAGAAAAATTCACACTTTTTCGCTTCCAACGTTATAATATAACACAGCTATAAGTCTAGGTTTTTAAAAGTGCGTACTTGTTCGAGAAGAATAATAAAACTGCAACCTATGGACATATTCTCGTTGAGCATCGCTTTGGTAGGAAAAATGAGGAAAAGAGCTACATATAATATAAATGCTGATAGCCAGCCGTAATCCCAAAATTTCCGGATGGAGGCTGCAAAAAGGAAAAATTATTACAGTTGAATTTGAACACTTGAATTAGATCGATTAATACGTCTAATTTGTTTTATTCGATTTAATATTTTTAATATTTAAATTAAACATATTTATCTAATTGTTAGTCTAAAATCAAAGAGATCGTTACATTTTGGCGAAAATCGGAGTCGCTGGTATGCCCAGAGGCTGAAAACCACGTAGACACCGAGAGTCAAAGTCTGCATGAACGACCAAATATAGATGCATGTTGAGAACTTTGCGAAACCAATCCGTAGTGTTTTGGTGCCCATGTGGACCCTTTAACAATTAGTAATTGAAAGGAATTGAGGGAAATTAAGCAGTAAGAATCAAAGCATTATTGACAGGAAACAACTGTCTCCATGAACAAATATCGAAAATTTGATCAAGCTAACCGATAATTCATTAATTCATTAATTAAGCTTTATTATTTTGTTACGAAAGTTTATCGCACGTGGAACAAATGCGTAGATATTTTAATTGTTGTCTCTTATTGCGAGTGATTTTCCAGACACAATAACGAAATGATTGTGCAGTTTACTTCAACTCTGATAACTTATTGTCATACTTCAGATAAGACGTGCGCAGTTTTGATTGATGAGACAGTATAGAATTATAACCCGCTGCATATATACATATATAACTTAAAATTAATACATTATATATATAACTTTGTGATATCGCAAAATCTTTCTCAGAACTTTGAGACTATTTATTTAAATTATAAATTATAAATATTATAAATATATTTTAAGTATACATGTATATTTCTTTTTTTTCGTAAAATAGCAAAATTTATGATTCCGCGAGGGACGAATTATGTTCCCTATGTTGCAAACTTACGTTCCCGATTTCACAAAATCGGATGTGGCAGTGTGAAAAAATAGGAGTATGAGAGTCACCATGAATAGATTATAAACCGTATGTATGTGCGGAATCTCGAAGAGATCGGTGAGGAACGAATTCCTCTCGACGAACTCCTTAACCGGCAGCGTGTCCTTTTGGCTTGATAATTTTCTGCTGGAATATCAGAGATAAGTAATCTTAACCCGATGCTAATAATCGTGAAATTCTGCGGCAATCATTGAAAGTGTGTATTCAAGAATTTCTTCTTTAATTTCTTCATTCATCTTCATTCGCGGTACCGATTGACTATAATTGACAGCAAATGAAATCGAGGATCTACAGATTAGGTTTATTACCTTTTTTAGATATAGAAATTGTATGAACTTACATACCTTTGAAACTGTACGACTCGAATATAACGAGGGAAGAATACGATGTAAAAGAATTCCAATTAATATCTGCCTCTTTGTTTATTCTCTACTGCACGCTACATTTACTCGTAGGTACTGTGCAAAATTACTCCAGAATATCACATTTCTCATGAGATATTCAGCTTCACGATTATGTTACAGAACTATATTGTATTTTATTACACACCAACTTTTTAACTGTAATATAATTCCCCACCTTTTGTCACGATATTTGTCCGTGCTGTACAAAAATTCCCCATTCTTCTCTGGTGGTGTTTCCATCTTCTTCAGAACCTCGGACATCATATCGTTAATGCGGTTGTTGACCTGTCCTAAAACGTCTTCCCTTATTTCCTACGAAGAAATGCGTATCATAAATAAGGAACAATACGCCGCACGTTATCTCTCACGAAACCGTATCTTATCGGTTTTAATTTTTTAACGATGACTCTTGGACACTGTTGTGCTTTTTCAACCAGACGCTATTAACTTGATGAACTTAACGCGGAACTACTTAAATCACATTCCATTAAGTCTAATCACGAATCGAGTTCAAATCAGAGATTTTTATTTCGCACCTCTATTTTTTTGTGCAATGCATTGGTGGTCGCCTCACGTAAAGCATCGGTAGTCATCTCCGTGAATGCGTTTCCGTTAGCTACTGAAAAGAGGAGTACAAAGATAAATACACATACACATATGTATAGATAGATAGGTAGAGCAGATAATAGTCAAGGATTGGTAAGTTACTTTTTAAAAATAACTAGTTATCGGTACTCGTTACAGATTTACAAAAATAACTACGTTACCGTTACAGTTACAGAAAAAAACATGTAACGCCGTTATCAATTCATTACCAAAAATAGTAACTGTAACGGTAACGGCGTTACAAGTAACGCGTTACTTCCCAACCATGGGCTAATATAATAGATATCGAAGAGTAAGTTTGTATGAATCTCACAATAAGTATACGTCTTTATTGACTTCTTCCAATGTAGAATAGTGTAGAACAAAGTTTCTCAATCCCTCGATAAGAATATTATGATAATAATTATACTTAAAACAGGCTCCCAACCATCCGACCGTTATTTTTAAGTTATCGTGTCGTTTTTGTGTTTATCTTGAAGTCTTTTGGTTTGTTTATTATTAACTTTTCAGTTGCGATATGAGGATTTATTTTATGTAATATAATAAATATATAATAGTAGTGACAATAGTAAAAAAAATATATAAGAATTCACTTACTGTTGTTACATTTTTTTGTAATTTTATTTCTGTTTTGAAACCAAGATCTTTTAGAACAGATAAGTTTAGTATTTATTGTATTTAACTTATTTCTTTAAATCAGGAGCCCGAGAATGTTTAAACATTGAGTTGGATGATAGTAGCGGTTAGTGGAAAAGCAGTGAAATGTTTAAGTTATTAAGTAGTTTCCGAAAACTGAATATACGCAATTACATCGTAACAGAGCGACATGTATTAATATCAACGGTCAATTATCAACTTTGAAGTGTTATCGCGGTTGTAGAGAGGTCTCCAACCAATAGATACAGACGGGATAGTAAATACACAAAACCTTAGCTCGCTTCGCTTGAATACTCGATCGTAAATGTGTTCATAAGTACGTTCACAATATATGAAACGGAGACATAAGATTGCGAATAATAACCTTATTGAAAATCGATGTAAATTTCATTACAGGAGAAATTAATTCTAAAATAAACACGATTTTATATTTAATAAAAATGCAACTGTAGTAAATAAAGAGCACGTTTTCGATAAATTTCAATCAAAAGAGATAAATAAATATATAATTGACTCTTAATAATTATGTATTAATAAAATTAAAAATATAAGTATTACAATAATTAGAAAAACTGAAGACCAAAAATACTACAAAATATTTAAAAAAAGGTATCTGTCTTCAAATTTCACGTCTTTCGCGGCATTTATTCATAATATTCATAACTATTTTAATAGATTTAAATTAGATTATTAAAATTACATCATTGCTATCTCCGTTTTACAATTGATGGAGTCAGTTACTTGCCATTTTTACTTTTCTCGTGAGGTTTGTTTGCGACACCGGAATCTTTAATGTTTACGGTTTCTGTAACAGAACTCATAGTGAAATAAGGGCGGTCCGAGGATTCTGTGGAACCTCTTCTTCGAGGACACTCTGAGCAATTCCGTCTCACGTTCTGATCGATTTATGAACCTATTGCAAAGTCAACGGTTCCATACTGATTTATAAGTCGAGCCTCTCGGATTTTTAAACGATCGAAGATCCCTGATAATAATACACTCTTAATCCGATCACTGTACACGAAACGTTACTATAAAATTTTTATTAACAATCGTTGACTTTCTTTTCAAGAGTACAGTACACAGAAGTTCGATGGTATTTGGTGAACGAGGTGCGACCTGCTCAATCCCAGTCTCGACTGTGCACGCACCGTTTCGAGCACGCGGACTATCTAAACAGATTTGATCACGCTTATCACCCCGCTATGAGTACAGTACGTACTGATATAACTCGAGAGAACATGTGTACTTCGACTGATAGATTCTCGAAGTGGAGCGGGTGGATGTCTGACGCTGTACACATGTACAATTACATACGTCAATTGTTTCGTGCGTCGCGCCGCTTAATCACTTCGATTAAATATTCTTCGAATTTACAAAAAACACGTGTTCTTAAATACGCGCTGATAAAAGAAATTATCTCTCTCGATAATTTCTTTTCTTTACAAAGCATAACAACAAATTGTTATGTTCTTCTCCTTTAAAATATATCTTTAATATTTTATTCGATGTCGGAAGAGAACACGCTTAAAATAAAAGTGCGCGTATCAAACATGTGTTAGACTTATTATTATATGTAACGTAATAGGTATTCTATTTTTTATATTCGATAATACACACATTGTGTCTGCAATTGTTGAAATTTTATAATTTCAGAATGTTAAAAAAATTGAAATTTTAAATAAAAAATATTTGTAAAAGTAAAATTAAATTAAACATATTTTGTAAATGCTTATTAATTAAAATACGATTATAATTGTGAAGGTTAAATTAAAAATTTTCTATTGTAATTTTTAATTATATACTTTTTACGTTTATGTAGAATATCGCTTTCTTTCCATTGTATTATTTTTATTCGGCTGACTTGGCATTGAGTCTTTCTCTTTACGAAAATATCGTTTATTATCATCAGCTATTAAATTTATTGAAAATAAGAAGCTCTTTTTTGATAAACTTTATGAAACAAACAAGATTACAAAATCATGCTCTTCAGTTAACTTCAAGCGGATGTTAATTCAACGGAATCTTAATTTGTTGTTTAATTGCAGAGATACACGATCATGAAAGCGTGAAAGTTGTGCGATAAACAACCGATTCCCTCTGACATCTCTGTCCGATAAGAAAGATTTCGACGTCAAAGACTTTTATATTGACGATTGCCGCAGAAACAAGACAATCTAATTACGATTTATTACAAATTTCTCGTATCTTTAGATGTCTTGACCTTTTTGACGACAGTCGATTTTCTTGCTACTTTGCACTTAAATTAATTCGCTGTCTGGGATCTCGGTCTCGCGCACAAATATCTTGTTATCAACTTACTCTTTGCAAAGTAGTTTAAGGGATATATAGGTCGCAGATACATCATGTGCACGATTTGCGACACGATAGCTTTGCCCGTTACTACTTGGATGATCCGCGCGCTAAATCCTTATGATTTACCTGACCTTTAAATCTACTCCGTGACGCGATGCATTCGTGACAAGTGCATGCTTATATTGTGATAAACAATAAGGAAAACACACTTGACATACAGGTCTCTTAAATTTTCGTCCTATCGCATTCTATCTCTTCTTACCTGCCAATCACTGACGAGAGGGAAGTAAAAGAAGTTTCCACTTTGAAAATTTAATTTATTGCACATTCTATTTATGATTTCCACACGCATACAATTTTTTGTTTATATGTATACATTAATATGGCTTTGATGTGCGTGATGCGATATTTATTTCTTAAAATAAGATTATCGCGCAAAGTCGTTAAAACACAGTATCTCTTGTACGAAACTAAAGTTAAATTTAAAAAAGACTTTGACACATGTGAAATACAATGTGTGCTATTGTTATTTGCGCTGGGCTAATTTTCATTTAATGACATATGATTTTCCATTTTTAATATTATTTTCATTGTGCAATCTAATTTGTTTTATTACTGAACTCAGTTGCAATTCTCACGTAGGTTAAAAGTCAGCAGAGTTCGAACGCGACCGACGCGCGAGGAATTATCTCCTCTCAACTGTTTTTTGCATTATTGGCGCCACATCGGTATAACTTGATAGACTGCGAACAATTTGCCGATTCATGATTTCCTGACGGAGCGCGTTAACGTTTTGACTTGCGTGCATGAATTAAATTTTCATTACACATAACATTACAATTACTTCGGCAAAAGTGTAATATTGCCAGATTACGTGCTTCTGTACAATCGCTCGTAACATCGAAATAATTTGAAGCAATTGAAGTATAATTGAAATGCGTACGCTGTAGTCAGCTTTTGCATCGAGCGGTACACTATTATTATTATTCAACCATTCTGCCACTTTGTACCATAATATCTTAATAGCGCGAAGAGTGATCTGTGATTCCGATGATGTAAATGTATATGTACACATACGCATAACGTATGCGTGTATAGGGTGCCCTAGATCTGAGGGCGAATCAATTTTTATACACACGTGTGTATATGAATGCATACTATGTATATGTACGTATACGATTCGTATCGTACATATAAATTCGTCCAGTAACGTGTTGACTTTAACGAAAATCTTGTCTCTGCGGAAATTATTTTCTATACCAAGACAACATTTCAAAGCAACTTCCGGATCGTTATCGTTCGTCTCTGTCGAACAGATTCCTGTTGTGAATCTTAAATTTAGAAACAGCAGTCAAATTGAACCATTTGGAAGTAAAACTATTATAAATTTTTGTTGTTTATAAGCGTAAATCACAATTTAATTGCGACTCTGTCGAGAAGATAATTATTTTTTAATATTAAACTTGCATGGATTAATCAATATAATCATAAATTACGATAAATGACAATAGATCTATCTGACAAAAGTGAAAAAGTTAATAAATTAAAATTTATTTATTACTGTAAATAAAAGTACTTTACGACGGTTATGGTAAGTGAAGTGAATAAAACTATTAATTAAATTAAAATTAAATTAAATTTTAAATACAAAAATTTCAAATAAAACTTTGTTAATAAGTAATTTTATTTAACATTTTATTTACTTGACTTATTTGCTAATAAGTAATTAAAGTAGCCTAATTAAATAAAATTAAATTAAAAGTATTAAAAAAACCAATTATATAATATAATAACATTCCACATTTCTCAGAAATAAAGTGTGTTTCTATAGAAACTTTTTGAAACTATGCGTTCGCCTAGTGGATCGGCAAAACGTTTCGCACGATCGCGATGCGCGTTGCCAATCTGCAGGCACCATCTCACTTCAACATCTCGAGCAAGAGTTCGTATACGAGAAGAAACGGACATTCGACCCTCTCGACTTGTCGTCGAGGAAAAAATACGCTGGTAGATCGAAAGGCTAAGAAAGAAAATTGAGTTTTTCTGTAACAGTTCGAAAATGATGACTTCGCATTCCAGGACGAACGATAGTAGCCCGCGAGTCCGCGTCCCTCGCGTTGAAATCTCTCACTTTTGCTTCGCCTCGGCTCTTGCCTCTCGCTCTCTACCTACTCTCTCGTGAAAGTACTCTGCCGAACGGCAGGCGGGGGGAAGCCCTCCTCGGGAACTGCCTCCGGTACCTTGGTAGACGATGCCACGGCAGTCGTCGTTCGGCCGACGTTCACCTCGACTCCGCTTTCACCTGACCGATTCCGGTGATCTTACGCGATCTCATCAACCATCGTCCTCGTCGTCCTCGTCGCCCTCGTCGTCGTCGTCGTCGTCGTCGATGTTGTGACAATTTTCTCGCCGTCCAAAGTACCAGATGACACCCACGGCTTCACGGTGTTCGCGATCGACGTAAACGGATACATCATAAGTGAGAGAAGACAGAAAGAGAGAGGGGGAGAGCGTGCGAAACTACAGTGGAACGACCAGCCTTGTCGATCGACTCGAGCATCCTGGAGAGGTGAATTCAGGAAACGGATGCGACCCTTCGGTTTTGCGCATCGACTATGATTGCCTGCGTCGCGAGGATATCGAGGATAAGGATTCAATAGAAAACGAATCGTCCAATCAGCAAGTATGAAAGCATTTATTATCTTCCTTCTCAGCAATTATCTCATCAGCGAGCGCCAATGTGCACTTTGTCTTTATTAACATCATTGGTAATTAGCAGCTGCTGCTGATTAGCGATCAATCCTTTTTAGGAAGAATACTTTATTTCGCGCTATTCTGGATTATTATTTATTGTTTTAAAATCTTATCGTTTATTTATTATCGTATTATTAAGTAATATTATTATCGTTATCATACCATTTGAAAATGTTAACTCATTAATTTTATTTGACATAATGCAATTTTAATAACGAACTATCTTTCATGAAATGTATTAGAATGTGTCTGATAATAATTAAGTGTTCCCAAGAAAATAATTCCGTTCAAAAATGATTTCAAGAATTTAAAAAAACTATTTTGATGTACCCAAGAATTTTTATAGATTGTAATTTTATTTCTTTTCAACGGCTCAAGAGCTGTTCAAAGATTCGTTAAAATTCTAAATATCCAAAATCTAAAATTATCAACTATTTGATACTTTAACTTGATTAAATCGAGAATTTTTTAGAAAGTAGAAACAGTCGCGATTTAATTAAATTTGCTTATATTATAATCACGGCTCTCTATTCTGGTGGTTCGAAAGTCTTTCAAGAATTTGCCATGCTATAAAATTTCTAAAATGATTACCGATTGAACTCTGAGATTAAACCGTAAACTTTAGAAAATATAGAATTGTGATTTAACCAAGAGCCTTTATGCTATAATCACAGCTTTACTAGGTTAACTTCCTACTTATTAATCGCCGCGAGCAGAAATGAAAGTAGTTTTGTTGCGTGCCCCGTTTACGCTGTTACGCGAGAACTATGCGACTGAAGTTTCCATACGGGAAGCTTAGGATTCCGAGATTTCAGGATTTCATGCATGCCAAGCGCAGAATCCGACGATCAGGGAGGGTACAATGGAGACAACTCGAATATTTACGACATCCTAAAATAACGTTATGTTCGTTTAGGTCAACTAACATCTAAAGCCTTGGAACTTTTCGCGTTAAAATGTGCCAGAAGACAAAGACGTAATGATACCGAGCAGGGTTGCGTAATGGAAATGTGAAATGAGAGTTATCATTACAATTATTAATATTACGAGAATGCAAGATTTACGTTTCCCAAGTAGCAAAGTGACGTCAAGACCAATTATCAATATTAGAACAGTGCACAATCGTTTTATTGTGATTAAAATATTGCGATGCGACGACGGGATGAGAAGAGAAGAGATGAGAGATTGACAAACAGTGTACAAAAGTAATGCAAGATAATAGACTAAAAGAAACGAAAGATAATAGAGCATAGGGCAAGATTATCATAAAAATTATTAACATCAAATTGAGTGAAAGTTATGTAGAATGTGTTGAGACTTGGAGATTTCAAGCTCTCGCTTGATTCACGACACTAAGGGTTGAGAAATTAAGCGAACTATAAAATTCAGGTGACAAAAAGACGCGAAGACTAAAAGAAACGAAAGATAATAGAGCATAGAGCGAGATTATCATAAAAATGATTAATATCAAGCCGGGTGAAAGTTATATAGAATGCAGACTTGAAGATTTGAAATACTCTCGCTTGACTCGACGACACGAAGGGCTAAGAAATGTAGCGAAGCATAAGATCCAGGTGACGAAAGGACTCGGAGACGCTACCGTAACGGGAACGTGCAACGTGAACGCGCGCCGTGACGAAACGGTCTCGCATTACTCCCAAGAGCTTCATTGATCGTCTTGGGAGATGAGTAAGGGGGCGGCGTGCGAATCCCCGTGACGGTGCATTGCGAGAGAGACCGCGGCCCCGGGGAGACGATAATTGCATATTTATGGAACGGCGTGACCTTGCGCCCGTTACTTTCACTATCGCCGATCCGCGTGTAATTGCGCTTGACGATCCATCGATCCCGCCCGCGTTGGATCGTGGCGCGCGTAAGATCGATAGCCGTGTCTACGTGTCGGCAACACAAAGACGCGCGATAACGCAACCAGGAAGCGCGTTTTCAACCGCAAAATGCTTGTTCGCGGTTGTCATCGAACGCGCGAGCTCTTTATCGGATACGCGAGTGACGTCACGTGCGTCAATAATTCTCTATGATCCCTTTAATTGCTGGCTAAGGGGAAGTAGGCGAGATTATCGATATTAACGTCGAGTAAATTCCCTGAATCCGGCAATAAGCGTCTTCCCATTTTTCCCCACTGTGTGTGTAACGAAAAATATATTATCGCGATATCAAAGGTCGCGCGCGACGTTGGGGGTTTCTCATCGTCAATACTGCCGGAATCAGTTAGCGGAATCGCGTGTTGTCGATTCGTGATGCGGAAAGAGTCCGTCGTGCGTTGAAAATCCGAGGGTGCGACATGGCCGGATAACAGATAGGATCGGTGGGACTCTCGCGAGGAGAGCGTCGCGAGAAAATCCCTCCTTCCTCAGTTTTCACTTCCTGCGTTCTCGCGAATCCGAGACGATCGCGTTGCGGACCAGCGATGGATCGCGGGAGCTGTCTCCGGTCGCAGAAATAGATTTCGTTACCGTTACCACGGCGTGACACGCAGGGAAGAAGAGAAAGTAAGCGCGTTATGAGGCGGGATACGCCACCGTCGAGAATTTCAAGCGACTTGAACGCGCGCGGTGTGCGCGGAGTTGCGAATGAGCTGCGATTGCGATAGCGAGAAGAATTTAGAAAATAACACTACGGAGTTTTGGCGGAAAATTTACGAGAGAGTTTTCGATCGCGAACCTCTCGAGAGATTGCGAGGTAAGATTGCGAGTTTCTTTCTTTCGCGATTACTCGAGCTAAATTCAATTGTGCTGATAAGTATCGTTAATTAAATCGTTAATATATTATTAAATAACATCTATTATATATATAATTTCACCAAGTACATATTTGCGCAGAGTGAAATCTTTTTGCTTAACGTAAATGGCTAAACAGCCATCAATTTTTTCAAATAAAATGCTTGAAATAAATTCAATTGGCTTGATAATTAGAAAAAAATTTTATAATTCTATACAATTTTAATTTCAAATACAATCCAGTCCATAAAATGGTAGACAGCTTAAATAAAGTACAGGATGAACGAAGAAATGCGATTAGAGAATTTTAGCTACGAGAAAGATAAGTACAAATCACTCGAGCATCACGGTGCATCCTGTGTACACACGTAATCGGTGAGAAATCGTGGGTACGTACAGTCTTATTCATTAATGCCTGGACCTCAGCTTTACTCTCTAACAGCTACTCTCTAAAAGTCAATCAGTGGATTATCACTGGTTTACCACTGAAAATAGCAGTGGTATACTTATAACTGTAAATCAGCGACTATTCATTCTTTTCAGTGATAATTCACTAATTGATTTTTAGAGAGTAGGATTCACATTTTCATAGGCCGGTATTCATAGTCAGATCTTATATTCAAGACCGTCTCAAGATCATCTTTAGATACTCCGTAGCCAATGAAATATTCCATACAGCAACTTTAGATAAATTCAAGACGGTCTTGAATATAAGATCTGACTATCAATACCGGCCATAATCTTTATTCCCATCTATACATCGATGAGTTTCAGGCTGTAGTTGACGCAGCTACTATAGAAGTCTGTAGTAGTGCATACATACAGCCTGAAACTCACAATCAGTGATTTGTACAGATGAGGAAAATGATGATAAAAATGCAGATCCAGGCATTATGATTAATGAATAAAAAACTGTATCTACTCGCGATACTCACTAGCATCCTCCTTCCTCAGTGAAGAATCGAGCGGTTGTATGACTAGTCGGGAATGATGGCCGGGGAAAAAAGATTGAGCGATCGGGGACGATGAACTGAATCCGGCTGCCGATCGTCGTCGCGTTGAAATCCATTCTCGAAATATATTCTCCGTGGCAAGGTCGTTCCTTTCCTCGTGACCTCGCGTTCCTCCGAGAACTCTGGCTCTTTTCTGCACATGTGACTCACACTCACACTCGCCAAGCGAAATTCTTTGGCGATCCTCGTACCGGAGTCCGCTGCATATCCTGTCTCGCGTCGAAAGTTCGAAATGGAAGATCGACGAGAGATAAGTAAGTCTTTTGTTATCCTCGACAAACGGACTTTTTCTCTTATCCTTTTCTAATCTCATCTCTTTTACGTCCTCGCGGCAAACAGACTTTTATCAGATATATGTTTTCCCTCATTCTCTTTAACAAGTAGATCCGTTATTGCCCTCGACAAATGGAACTTTGATTTGGTTCTTTCGTCATCTTCGATAAATGAATATTTTGTTAAACAAACGTTTCATTGGCCTTAACAAAGGAATGCTTTCGACTGGTCATTGTTAACGAGTCCGTCTCTTATCGGATGGATCATTTGCATACGCCAATCGACGAGTAATAATAAAATGCAAGAGCACGACGCTCGTGTCGTGATTCATGCAGGGCTAACTGATTATTAGAAATTTAGCTCTCCACTGCTGTCTCCGATCAACCGCATTCCCTTTCGCAAGCAATAACAGTTCGTCGCACCCGATCGCGTGCATCGTCCCAGAAACTTATTATTCCGAATTGGTAGCTAACGGTACGCGGCTTCCTTACAGTTTCGACGCGACTCAAAGAGAATACCAAAAGAAAAATAAGAAAACCGGTCAGCAATTGACGTTCTCAAAATTAAAAGAGTGCCTTCATACTTTGTCGATTGAGAAAGAATCCAACTTAAAGGGTTGTCCTGATATCATCGTATTAATTAAATAATAAATTCTGCGAATACAAGAAATAGCTATTGTCTGTTTATATTATTACTTTTAATCTATTTTCCAGGTTTTATTTTTATCGCGGTTCTTCCATTTATCTTGTGTCAGCCTTTAATCTTTCATCCTTGAGCTTACGACCGACGAAACTTGTTAAATTAGCCAATACTTAATTAACAATTTAAATTCATTTGATCAATAAATAGTACAATTAATTATTATACATATATAACATTTAATTTACTTACTATCGTATAATGTTTAATCAATTGAATTGACTATAATCGGTTAATGTGTAACCGCGAATTGAAGCAAGCTTCTCTCGCTTCATGGGGATCTCTTCTGCCTCGCAAAACGCATTCCGCAGTTACATCGCGGCGATGTGTCGTCTCCTTATCGAGAAACGTAGACGAAAAAACGCGAGGACGAAGAGGGGAAGAGGAAAGAGGAGGAGACGAAAGAGTGTGAAAAAGAAAAGGCCGAGAGGGGTACGCACGTAGGGACTAGCTAAGCGGCGCCGACGGATTTTTAGCAATGACGGGCGGGGGTCCGGGGGATATCGTAGCGCGGCCTCGAGGGCGGCAACGGCCGCGGAACGGCGGCGGAGCCGTCGAGTTACAGTGGACGTCCTTGCTACGTTATCTGCCACGTCGTTCGTTTCGTTTCCCTTTCACTTTCAGCCGTAGTCCAGGAACCAGAAACCCCGGATTTCTCTCTCCCGCGGCTCGCGGGTTCGCGCCGAACAAAGATACACGCGCGCCCCCGCCGTACCTGGGCCGTGTGCCAGATGTTGAGGAGAGATAATTGCGCGAACGCGCGATCACGCCGCGATGAACGCCAAGTTCGTTAGGTCATCGTATGTTGAACGTTATAAGGTCGGCTACGCGGATCGCGACTTGTCTTGACTAATCCAGCGAGTGATAATTAATCGTCAATCTATCATTATAATTGGCGCGTGGACGAAGAAAGGAGAAAAATTGTTGATTGTCGTTAAGTAATAAGGTCTTCTCTCGACTAACCAAGGATATCGAACTCTTTATATCTAAGAGTGCTGTTAAATTACACGTTTCACCGTTAATTTCTGAGATTGACAATACAATTTTTCCAGTTTCAAGTGTTTTATGCAAACCTTGGTTGATTACTGCAACTGTCTCGTCGCCTGATTCAGTCTCGACTACAGCTGAGACTGACGCCTGGAACGACGAATCCTTGACTTGGTGGGGCTGCTGCTCCTTCTTCTTGAGCTTCGCACAGTCGGCACGAACATGTCCTTTGCCTCGGCTCTTTGATTGCTGCTGTTCCATTTTGTTGGAGAAACTCCCTGATGCCTTTTTCCTATCAAACTTAGGGGAACCCGTAAATCCCTTTTTGCACTTCTCTCCAAAAAAGATGGTGATCGGATGCATTGCCTCCAAGAACTCATCTACCGTATCCACCCGCAGAGATGTCGCTATGCTTCTAAGCGCGTTGCTGCCGATTCCATTGATCAAGAGATGAATTGACTCCTGTTCGGGTAGACACACATTTTTCATAAGAGCCAATTTATCCAAGGCGTACTCCTGAAAAGATTCCTTTGAATACATCCACGTGCGTGCCTCTACTTTCTGCGTAGCTACGTCAAATAAAATTCTTCTTTTGAAACGTTTACTGACGGCCTCCTTGAATCCAGTCCAAGATTCAATGGCGGATCCATTGCAGAGCTCATACCAACGGCGTGCAGACTTAGTCAGTTTGGCAGTAGCCGCCAAAAATGTAATTTTTTGAGATACACCGTGTATCTGTGAGACTTGCTCTACCTTTTGTAACCACAGATCCACATTTCCGTCTTCCGATCCATCGAATTCGGAGATTTGAGACTGTAACAACTTAACTGCTTGCGCCGGGGATACTGAGGCCAAGGCTGGATTACGCTGCACTTTAGACTCATGGGACACGTCACTTCGGTTCCCTGGCGAATTCGCCATGCCCGCTGACGAATGAGCATCCTGGTTGCTTTGAGAGAGTGTCAGCGCGTCCAACACCTTCTTCATTACTTCCTGCTGCTGTCTCATCTGGTCCAGCAGTAATGAGCAAAACAATGGGGGCACCGCCTCACTTGACGCAGTGTTTGTTCCTGGATTCATGGCAGCCAATGAAGACGTATCCGAGGACGAACCCGGCGGTAAAACAGATGCTGATTTTTCACGGGGAAGGGAATTTCTCTCGTAGAAAGACATCAGTGCATCAATACACCACGGTTGAGTATCAGGCGGTTTCAAACCCAAACGACGAGCTTCACTCTGCAGCTCTTCCAGAGAAAGATTTTCGAGTCGTTGTCGTTCCATTTTCTTTAAGTGTTCTCTTAGTTGTACGAGCGACGTGACGAACTTTTAAATACGCACGGACGCGACGGCACTTCTCTGTACGCGCACTTTTCTGACACTGTACAAATCAGTGTCACGAACATAATGCGTACAAGGCAATGTATGTATTGCGTCACTCTTAACACACGCAAAAAACAGGAATGTCTTACGTAAGCGAAAAATTTTCGAATATAGAGGCAAAGCCCACGTGTCTCGCGAGCACACCGCGATATCGTAAAACGTTTAAATGTGAACACACGCGGTAAAAAGGGCTATCACTTGATATACCCGGAATCGTAACGGTATTCCCCCAAGTCCCAGTCTACAATAGATGATTTAAACCCTGAGCTTTAAGAAATTGCGGCCAATCACGGTCAAGTATGAGTAGAATACGCGACTGTGATTAATTTTTTAAGGCTTAGGGTTTAAATCTCTATTGTAGACTGGGACTAAACGGCAATATGGTACTGAAAACCAGCGGTCCGCGTGAACATACGACAAAGAATCGCCTTGCCATCCAAAAGCACACAGGGAAAAACTTGTACTATAAGATACCACAAACGGTAATAAGCAAAACAAATCCTCTACGTGTGACATAAATTCAAATATGTCTCAAAATGGTCTTTTTTGCATATTTAGTTTATAATATCTCAGCATTCTGACGTGCTGGAGAAAAACGAACCACGGTTTTGTGTTCAGCACACGAAAAACCTTCGGGGTCACCTATTCTGTTTTTTATAAGGTATAAAAATACCTTTTTTGCCGGCCTGTTTTACTTTGAGTTCGGGATCCTGTAGTTTTGGGGAAAGAAAGATCTTTTGGGATCGGTATTATGTATTTTTGGATATTACCTGAGAGAAAAACTGGAAAAATTAATTTAAATAGAATTAAGATACATATATGTAAAGAGAGAAATTAAAAAAAGATATTGAATAAGAATGATATTCATAAAAAGGTGATTCAAGAGAAAGGAGGCTCGAGCGAAGCCGGGTAAGGCCGCTAGTTTTATATAAATTTAGAAATATAATTTCAGATCCTTAGTAAAGATATCCAGATGTCGATGTGATTTGATTCTTGCAATTTTCGATTTTTGCACTCCCTCTCGTAGCACTCGAATTTTTCATTATTTCTAACAGTCTCAATTTCAGTAATTGCATTAGTTGTTTAAAAACAAAAGAATTGGGAATATAAGATTCATAGAGATTATCAATTTGCAGAATGTCGAAGAATCAACATCAGAATGGCGTAATACCAGGAGGTGGCATTGTGACCGGCCCGGATGATTTTTCAGATGGTGAAAGCACTCCACTGACTCAGGACTATGCCGGAAGGTATGACGATTTCATCATCGTTAATAATTTCTTCTCTCTGGAAACTAATTGTAAGATTTCAAGGACGATAAAATTAAATAAAATTAAAAATCGAGATGAAGGAATTAGAGTTGAGAAAAATCAGAAATTAAAGAGAACATGTAAGATATTGGATTACTGAAAGTTAAATTAAATTTCAATTAAAGATAAGTGTTATTGAAATTTATTAGGTAAAGGTGTGTTATTTCGATTAAAGCTAAGAGCAAATTTAGTTTAAGTTACTTTAAATTATTCAAATTATCAAAAGAATGAAATCTCTCTCTCACACAGATTTGAAAAACTACTAAATTTGACTAAAGTTTATTTGACAATCAATAATGTTTTTATTAATAAATAATTAATTTTTTAACGTAGCCAACGCACGATCGTCGAGACGAAAGGATGGGACGTGTTTCGGAATCCGCCAATGAAGACTGACTCGTACTCGAGTTCCACGGCAAACCAGAAATGCATGGAGAGGATGGTGCAGGTAATCAAGGTCTTCGTTTACCTGTTTGTTTTCGTCATAGTGTTGGGAAGCGGCGTGGTCGCCAAGGGTACGATTCTCTTCATGACGTCGCAGCTCCGGCAAGACAGAAAAATACTCTACTGCAACAGACAATTGGGTAAGACATACAATTAAATGTAAATTTCACCCTGGCGAAAAGTTTAACTTCATCAATCTAATAAAATTAATTCAATTCTAATTAATTCGGACAGCAAAAATTCTACATTATAAACAAAGTAATTTTATTTTTCAATGAACGATTTTATTTTTAAGTAAACACAAAAATCGAAGAAAAGAAAAAGATGACAAATATATTTATAATATTCGACAATTATTTCCAAGTTTCAATTCTAGATCATTTTTATCGTGTGATGTTCTCTCGTAGACCGCGAGAACCAATATATAGTGACATTGCCCGAAGAAGAGAGGATCGCATGGATATGGTGCATAATAATCGCATTCGCGGTGCCAGAGTTCGGCACACTAGTGCGCAGTATTCGCATGTGCATCTTCAAGTCATGGAAGAAACCACAATCGGCGCACTTTCTCGTGGTTTCCATCATGGAAACGTTTCACGTGGTGGGCTTGGCCTTGATGTTCCTGGCGGTGCTACCGGAACTCGACGTCGTCAAGGGGGCGATGTTGACCAATTGCGTATGCTTCGTTCCTGGGTTGCTGGGTAATTTGATTCCAATTTAATTTTATTCGGTTTAATTTGATTTTATCATATTTGAACTTTAACTATATAAAGAATTATGGTATAGAATAAAATAAGAAAAGTGAAAAATACATTTAAAAAGCAATACATATAGGAATAAGGTTTATCCAAAAAGAAGAAAACATAAAAAAGGAATAACACCATTACCCATGTTAATAAATCTAATTTAATTCGGACGGCAATAATTAATTCGTCATTTGCAATATTAATTGTACATAATGTGTTAATGTATAATGGTATTTGCTAAACGATGCAGTGTATATGATCAATAATTTGTATTAAACGAAAGAAATGCAGGCTGATCCGCTTGCTTTCGATCACGATTGCCCGACTTTCGCGTTCGATTTTTCCACGGTTCCGTGTTGCTGTGCGAATAATCATGAAAGTAGTGATCGCGCGAGAATAGGCAAAGTGAAACATATGCTGCGCACATTCGCAGGCCTACTTTCCCGTAACAAAAGTAAAGACGAGTCCAAACGATTCGTCCTCGTTCTCGTCGATCTCGCTGCCCTAGCCGCCCAGGCGACCAGCTTTATCCTTTGGCCCTTCCTGGACAGCTCGAGACGATCCTTATGGCTGATTCCCGTCGCGCTACTTCTCGTCTCCTGCGGCTGGTGGGAAAATTATGTCTCCACGCAGAGTCGAATTGGTGAGTTCCCGTTTTTATTTTTACGGCCAAATTCTTAAAATGGAGTCATAGAAAAAAAATAAGAAAAGCATTTATTAAATTTACGTCATGTTGATTCGAAAATATGAAAAAATGCTTCTTATTTTTTCTCTTTCTAATTTTTTCCTTTAGGTTTAATCAGATCACTCGGCAGAGTGAAGAAAGAGATGCGACTGACACGTTACTTCACCTATATGTTGGTGTCTGTCTGGAAGATTGTGGCGTTCTTCGTCAGCTCGGTATTGATACTACATCTCAAAGGTGACAATGTCGGGCACCTTTTTACCATGTTCAGTAGCGCCTTCGGCGATCACAGGATCACAGTCACGTCCATCAAGTCGATAACTGGCGGCAGTTTGCCAGATCTCTCGGAGATTCTGACGGGCGATATCACCGAAGTCATCAACGCCGACTTCAACACGCCCATCTATGTTCTCCTGCTGCAGATCGCCGGCGCTTACTTCGCCTACGTGTTTGGTAAGCGAATTGTGCATGAAAATAATAAAACTTGCGATATACTATAATCTTGGCTGTCGTAAATAACATACATTTTGATTGTCTTGGAGAGAGTATTTTTAATTAAGTAAATTTGACAAATTCTCAGTTGAATTTTCATGCGATAAAAAATATCTTCTATAATTAGTTAATTTTTAACATGTTCCGTCATTTCTAGGCAAATTCGCGTGCAAGATCCTGATTCAAGGCTTTAGTTACGCATTCCCGGTGAATCTCACGATACCGGTGTCGATCTCGCTGCTGATCGCTGCGTGCGGCCTTCGCAACAACGATCCCTGCTTCTTCCACGGCACCATACCAGATTATCTGTTTTACGAGTCGCCGCTGCCAAACTTCCTCAACGACTTTGTGTCGAAGCAGTATGCCTGGGTGTGGCTGCTATGGCTGTTGTCACAGACCTGGATCACCCTACACATCTGGACGCCTAAATGTGAGCGTCTCGCGTCCACGGAGAAGCTCTTCGTCGTGCCAATGTACGATTCTCTGCTGATCGACCAGTCGATGGGCCTTAATCGGAGAAGGGACGATCAGCCGGAAGTCAAGGTTGAAGTAAGTATAAAGATGCTAAAATAATGCTGACATTAACTTTCTAACTTGTTAGTTCTTAAAATAACTTATATTCTCTTAAATAATAATATGTGAAAGCATTATTACCCTGTATGCGAGAGAATGTATGCGGTTCTTAAATTAATCGACATTGAGTCAATCGACAGGATCTGGCAGAAATAGAGAAGGAGAAGGGTGACGGCGATTACGAGACCATCTACGAGCAGACGGATGGATCAACTACACCTCCGTCCGCGGTGAAGAACAGCGATCACGTAACCAGGATTTATGCTTGCGCTACCATGTGGCACGAGAATAAGGAGGAAATGATGGAGTTCCTGAAGAGTATCCTGCGGCTGGACGAGGACCAGTGCGCGCGGCGCGTTGCCCAGAAATACCTCAAGGTTGTCGATCCCGACTACTACGAATTCGAAAGTGAGTAACATTGTATTAGCAGCCTCTTGTAAATATCTATTGTACGGGAACGTATTCCTTCAGCTCACATATTCTTCGACGACGCCTTCGAATTGTCCGACCACGACGAGAACGAGTCGCAGGTGAACAGATTCGTAAAGTTACTGGTCGGCACGGTGGACGAGGCCGCGTCGGATGTGCACAAAACGAGGATGCACGTAAGAGCGCCTAAAAAGTATCCAACTCCGTATGGTGGACGATTGGTTTGGACACTTCCCGGAAAAACGAAGATGATCGCCCATCTGAAGGACAAGAGCAAGATCCGACACAGGAAGCGGTGGAGTCAGGTAACGTCCATTCAGAAAAATTTAATTTAAGAAGAAGGAATTTAACTTGATGAAAGTTACGCAAAGTCGCTCTGTTGTTAAAAGTGTTAAAGATTATCCCGTAAATGGATGTTCAATTTTTGACTTAGGTAATGTACATGTACTACCTTTTGGGCCATCGTCTTATGGAGCTCCCGATCAGCGTCGATCGCAAGGAGGTCATCGCCGAGAATACCTTTCTGTTGACACTCGATGGCGATATTGATTTTCAACCGGCGGCAGTGAAGCTTCTCGTGGATCTGATGAAGAAGAATAAGAACCTGGGCGCCGCTTGCGGTCGTATTCATCCAGTTGGTTCCGGTAAGTCTGCGATCGCAATCAAATCGTACAAAATATAAAAAAGATTGTAATTATATTTATTTAAATATTGCATATGTTCCAGGACCTATGGTGTGGTATCAGATGTTCGAATATGCGATCGGTCATTGGTTGCAAAAAGCCACCGAGCACATGATCGGCTGCGTGCTCTGCAGTCCCGGATGTTTCTCGCTATTCCGTGGTAAGGCACTGATGGATGACAACGTAATGAAAAAGTACACGACCAAGTCCGACGAAGCAAGACACTACGTGCAATACGATCAGGGAGAAGACCGCTGGCTGTGCACGTTACTATTGCAACGAGGATACAGGGTATGCACCTCGCTACCGCTATGTAACAGTTTTACTCTAGTTTCTAGACATTATTCGATTAATTTGCAATTACATGTTTTATTTGAAATCATTCTTATTTTTTTCCCCGTTGCATTGTAGGTGGAATATTCCGCAGCGAGCGACGCTTATACCCATGCACCGGAAGGATTTAACGAGTTTTACAATCAACGACGGCGTTGGGTACCCTCCACCATTGCGAATATCATGGATCTGCTGATGGACGCGAAACGCACGATCAAAATTAATGACAATATCTCGCTACCTTACATTTCGTATCAAATCCTACTGATGGGTAAGTGCTTTTCTCAATTCACTCAGAAAATTGATTAAATTATAATTACATTAACATAAAATAAAACTGCACATATATATTTTGAATAATTTAACATAAAAGTATCTTAAATTATTAAAATGTTATTCCATTTTTTAATTTGCGTTTTGATTAAAACAGGTGGTACGATTCTGGGACCCGGTACGATCTTTCTCATGTTGGTGGGTGCCTTCGTAGCGGCCTTCAAAATCGACAACTGGACCAGCTTCTACTATAATATTATTCCCATTTTGCTATTTATGATCGTCTGCTTCACATGCAAGTCGAACGTACAGGTAAGTATCTTCCTTTTGATTCGTCGCTTGTATATGTACGTGTTCGTGAATATCCACTGTTTTGCACATTGTGATCGTCCTCGTCCACGAAATTTACTTCACTAAAAATTTACAACCAGAATTCTTAATTTTAATCGCAATAATGTATTCTTTCGCACAACATTCGCGATTTCTGGCGTAATTCGAATCTGAAGACGTCGAAGATGTTCAAGCGTGAGACAGGGAGAAATTAAGAGCTGAATGGTTTTCAGCTTTTATGCGCCCAGATCCTGTCAACAGGGTATGCGATGATCATGATGGCGGTGATCGTAGGTACTGCCCTACAGCTCGGCGAGGACGGTATAGGCTCACCATCGGCGATCTTTTTGATATCATTATCAAGTTCATTCTTCATAGCAGCTTGCCTACATCCGCAAGAATTCTGGTGCATCGTGCCTGGCATCATATACTTGTTGTCCATTCCGTCCATGTACTTGCTCCTCATATTGTACTCCATCATCAATCTTAACGTTGTGTCCTGGGGCACCAGGGAGGTTCAAACGAAAAAAACTAAGAAGGTTCGTTAGGATCGATTATTCTTTTACCTTTGGCACCGGTGTAATTAAATGCGAATGTATCTCTGGTGAATACACTTGGTGGGCTTTGGAAGGGTGAAGGTTCAGGGCTTTTGGATCTTTTCTTTGCCATTTCTTCTTGATACTTTTTCCTTTTTTATGCAACAACAGCGCCGTTACGAAAAATACTTATTATCTCATATCTCGAATTCTTTTTTTTGCCATAAAAATCATGAGTTGCTACGTAAAGTAACTTTGTTGTAAGAATAACATTTTTTATTTTATTTGCGAATATTCTCCAGTGCCATAAACTGGATGAGACAGCACTTCGGAGATAGGAAGAATAATCCTATCCAGATTCCTTCGATCAAACGATTTCATATTTGCTTTATCTCGTCAAGAGCTCCGCCATGCGCTTCAGCTTCAGCTATTCACTCAAAACAGAAGGTGACTAACGCATACGAAAGTTGGTGGTTCTTGACGACAGATGATAGTAGCCGCCGTGATCAGCACCATGTACGCGATTGTGATGACCGCGGTGGTCGTCGCGTTCGCGATGAACATCATGAAGGAGACCGTGATGTCGCCGAGCGCGTGGTTCCTGTTCCTCGTGCTGGGCGAATTCACGATCACGGGTTTCCTGCACCCGTACGAGGTCACTTGTCTACTGCACGGTTTAATTTATTACCTGGCAGTGCCCTCGATGTACGTGTTACTAATCATATACTCGCTCTGCAATCTCAACAACATCTCATGGGGCACGCGGGAAGTTGAGAGGAAGAAGAGTAGCGCGGTAATTAATCTCGCCCACTTTACTAACTCCGACTAATCTACACTGATTGAGATGTATATACCTATGTAAATACTCACGAATCTATCGGCTTTCGCAACTTTGTACACACGTAAGAATATTTTATGCTTTTTAACTCTCGTCGAAGAATACAACTTAAGGCACAGAGAATTTTGGGTTTGACTAACATTAAGATTGTTTAGAAACTTATTTCATCAGTCTCTAAAGAGAATTAAGAGATGAAAAGAATTTTTAGAATTTGATTAAATTAATTTTAATAACTAGTTGATTTTATTCCAGTAAGAGTTAATAATAGTAAATTATAGAAATATTGGATAGACATATGTTATATAGATAAAATTTTAAAAATAAATTAATTACAATTTGATTGTCAGATATATGTACATATAATATTAAAGTGTAATTAAATGTATAATATTGTACATTTAGAAGATTGAAAAGAAGATTTTTTATTATTAAAATCATTCTGCTTATAACGCGAAAGTTTGTATTCTTTAAAGCCGTTAGAGGGTCGTTGCTTTGGTCTATTAATAATCTACTTATATAATTTATTTAACTACGACAACACACGACAAGTAAGGATCGTGTTTCCGTGTTTATCATAATCGTTGGTGCGATTTAGGAACTCGAACAAGAAAAACGGGAGGCGGAGGAGGCGAAGCGCAAGGCCAAGCAGAAATCTCTGCTAGGTTTCCTGCAGAACGGTGCGGGCACCAATGACGACGATCAGGGTTCCATTGAGATATCGCTGGCCGGTTTGTTCAAGTGCTTGATGTGCACCCATGGCAAGCCTTCCGCCGAGAAGCAACAGCTCGTGGCGATCGCCGAGTCGCTCGAGCAGCTTGGCAAGCGACTCGAGACCATCGAGAGGTAGGAAAGAAATGTACGATAATATCCGGAGCGACGATTACCCTCAACTGTAAAATCAAGAGAAAAACAAATTCCGTACAATCAGTAAGATCTCATAAAAGTGAAAGATGCTCCGATTTACGAAGTGAGAAAGTTTCGGGATTGTACGGGCAACGTTGTGGAAAAGTAGATCGCTAGAAAATATCAGTTTTCTTGTGAAATGTAGATAAAAAATACCCTATTAAAATATAAACATTTCTATTACTTATGTAAAAGAAGCGCAGTGTTATTATTTCAGTTATTTTAATTTGAACTTAATTACTTTCAATCAGATGCTCGAAGATTGGAAAATTGATTCATCTTTTCTTATAGAGCGGTGGATCCTCATAGTCACGGACGAAGGAGAGCCTCTTCTGTGGGTTCGCGCACCGCCGATCACCTGGGTGCCATCGGCGAGGGTCCCGAGGACGAGGATGGCAGCGAGACGGAGACGGTGACCAGTCAGAATACCGAAGGCAATCGCGACGGCAGTAACTTCCTCTCGCGACCATATTGGTTGAACGACGACGGCCTGAAGAAGGGCGAGGTGGACGTGTTATCGTTGCAGGAGGAACAATTCTGGAAGGATCTGCTGGAGAAGTATCTCTACCCGATCGACGACGACAAGACGGAGAAGGTAACACGTCGAAACACTGGGACTTTATTCAATCTTTTCTGGAACTTCTCTGAAACTATGAAAGAAATGAGAAAAATTTTTTGGAATTTTCCTTTTAAGATTCAGTTTTTATTTTGAGAATTCTCAGACAATGTTTACTAATTACATTTTTTTGTATGTAAGCATCAAAAAGATTTTAATTTTGCACTCAAACTTAAAATTCTATAAACTTTTACAGAAAAATACTAATTATTAACATAATTAATTTTACACAATGGAATAACATGTCGGAATGAAGGTAATAGTTCTCGCAACGTAAGTAATCCGCGATACGTCTTTGTCACTGCAAGCGATCAAGGATGAAGAAACAGGAAGATTTAAGCACGTTTGTGAAGTGTTTATATTCGTATTTTAATCAATTTGTTTCAATATTACTTCTTGTTAAACTATTATTAAGATTATTGAGGAATGAAAATCTCAAAAGTCTATTCTCCACTTTTCACTAATCGTGCAGCCAAATAATAAATTTAAATCTAATTAAATTAAATATCGAAGAAAATCTTCCCTGGCTAAAAATGATTAAATTAAAAATTAGAGAATTCTTGATACAATGAAAACCAATTTAAATAAATCAAATTGAATAGTGATTGAAAGGTTTGTTCCTTGAGATATATGATTTATACGTTTTACAGAAAGTATTTGTTATGCATTTTTTTCATATATTCGAATTAATATACTCCATGCTGCCCCCAATCAGGCACGAATCGCCAAAGATCTAAAGGACCTACGCGACCAGAGCGTCTTTGCATTTTTTATGATGAACGCCCTCTTCGTCCTGATCGTTTTTCTGCTGCAATTGAACAAAGACTTGTTGCACATCAAGTGGCCATTCGGCATCAAGACGAACGTCACGTATGACCATACCACCATGGAGGTAAAACTAGCTCCGTCGGCGCCTCGCATCCTCGATCATGGATTTATCTCGAGCAAAACGTCCACGATAAACTTGTGCTCCAACTTGCGCTTGTTAAATTTACAAGATAAATGCAATCGAACGGATGGATCGTTAATTGAGATAAACGAAAGATCGACGGATCGATGGACCGCTCGACGGAGTTTTCTTATACTTACTATTCTAATCTTGTGTCGTCTCTTTTTTTCTGTTTCTCTCGCATTTACCACGCGCACGCAACAGGCCCGCATCGCCGCCGATCTGATCGAGCTACGCAACAAGAGCGTGTTCGCGTTTCTAATGTTCAATGCGTTGTTCGTTCTGATCGTATTCTTGCTACAGCTGAACAAGGATCAGCTGCACGTTATCTGGCCGCTCGGCGTCAAGACCAACATCACCTACGTCGAGGAGACCTCGGAGGTATCCGATGATCAAGCATCAAAGGGAAAGGAATAAGTCGGTGCCAGGGTGGTGTTCTACACATGGTGTTTTGTTAAAATCGTCCTCGATGTGTCCGGATACTCCCTGAATATTATCAGACTTGACAAAATGATGAAATAACATTAATAAATCGGAGCTTGTTAAAAAGTACAACGCTAAAGTTTCCACGGAACTTATTCGTTTCTTAACTTTAGATTTTCAACTTTTAGAAATTTCAGTCTCCCGACTTTTAACGTTTGAGATCAGTTGGATTATTCGAGTATACGAATGCATCGTGGGCGAGCACTGTATTTCGGTGATGACATTGCACCCAATTCAATATGTACATATGTTTTTATGTCATTAACCCAACTGGTTCGTTCGACAGCACGTGGATGGTCTCCGATTAATATTCTCATGCACAGGTACCTCATCCTCACCCTGGGTCGAATGGAATGGAATGAAGATGATTTTTAGTGACTAGGAATAACCAGAGATTAATGTCACAATAACATACTCCTGATTGTGCCTTTTTGTCAAAATTAGACAAGATCAAATCAAGTACATGAAATACAAGTCAATCTTATTAATTTGATTACATATTCAATGTAAAGGTAGAAGCAAATATGAGATCTATTTCTGAAAGTTAAAGCTGGTAGTGGCAGAAACAATAATTTTTTTTATTTTAATTTTGTGAAAACATAGTAATTTTGTACCTTTATTCTGTAATACCTATAATAATGATTATTATTATTAGAAAAATTATTATATAACGTGAAAGTTGTTATTATTATTAAAATTGATATATTTCTGGCCAAAATAAACAAAAATTTTATTATATAAAACTAATATTATATCCTACAGTTAAAATTGTTATTAAAAAATTAACTAAATAGTACTGAAGAGAATAGATCAGTCTTTCTACGAAAGAATCTTAACATCACGGACTCTCAGCTCCGAGCCTCTACAGATTCCTGGAGATCTGTGGATTCTTGGAGAGATATGCGTCTCTTCTCTCTTTTGTTATGTCTAACTTTGACCTTGCACCATATTGCCAGCTGTGGCAGCGGACGAGCACCACTAACGTACATAACGCGATAGTTGCTTTCAGTGTATTCTCAACGGGAGTTCAACCGAACTCATTTTTTTTCTTTTGTTCATAAACGTGTGTGTGTATCTTTTATATGTGTGTACATAAGTGTGTTAATTTAACACGCACGAAAGCCACCACGATTATTACAAAACTTTAACCGCTAATGACCTGTCCTTATACTCATTTGTTTTTAATTGATATACATACATACACACGAAGGAATGATTTCCGATAGCGATCGATCGGTTCTTTATCGAATAGAACTTGAAATAAAATGTCTATGAAAGGAATAATTTAAAAAATGTGTAATTTAGTGCGATAATAACTCGATACTTGAACAATTCAACGATTTAATAACAGTTTGTATTAACTACTTTTGACAGTTTCAATCCTTTTTTTTTATTAAACTATGCGAGCAGGTGTCTACTCTGTTTAGATATCGATCGCCATCGAACGTTGCTTCCCAAAATGACATTTCGTCACGTATCGCAACGCATTCTACACACATTGCGATTTTGCAGGTGCACATCACGAAGGAGTACTTGCAACTCGAGCCGATTGGTCTCGTGTTCGTCTTCTTCTTCGCACTGATATTGGTCATACAATTCACCGCGATGCTGTTCCACCGATTCGGCACACTGGCCCACATTCTAGCCAGCACCAGTTTAGACTGTTGCAAAAAGGTGCGCATACATCTTTTAGAAAATGATACAATTATATGCGTCCTGTCTTGTCGAATTGTTACAAAATGTTTATCGTTTTAATCGCTTCGACAAATATGACGGACTTGTAACCACTTGACGCGTCTGAGCTTAATGATCTTCGCAGACGAAAGATCTCTCCGAGGAAGCCCTGTTATCGAAACATGCGGTCGATATAGTGAGAGATCTTCAGAGACTAGACGGGATAGAAGGCGACTACGAAGAGGGGAGCGGTAGCGGGCCAGGTAGACGAAAAACAATTAGAAACCTGGAAAAGAGTCGCAGGAAGACGCAGGCAATCAACACGCTCGACGTGGCCTTCAGGCAACGTTTCTTCAGCATGAACGAGGGCGCAGGTAACCGAGTCAGAAAGAAATTGCGAATGTATAACATTTGATATCCGTGATTGTTCGTAATATCGAATGGAAATTCCCAGGCCTGTCGAGGAATATGTCGACGCGACGCGAGGCGTTTAAGGCGTTCGAGGGTAGACGCAACAGCATAATGGCGATGCGCCGGAAGTCACAGATGCAAACCCTGGGCGCGAACAACATCTACGGTGTGGCTGGCAATCCTCTTGGGATCCAGGGCCGACCGTCCCGCAGTAGTCAGATATCCGTCAAGGACGTGTTCGAGGGACACCCAGCTGCGACGTCGGCAGCGGGGCACGTGAACGCCGGGTATGAGGGCGACGACAGCCCCGGAAACAGCCTGCGGCTGCAGAATCTCGGTGGCAATCAGGTCACGTGGCGAGAGGCAAACTCCAACGTGTGACACGCGTCTCTCCCAGCTCTTGGTCGCGATAGATTAACCAACAATTTATTTATCAAAGAGCTCATTTTCGAATCCTCCGAGTCGAATCTCTAGAAAATTGCACGAACAAGATCTCATCGCGCCTTTTGCAATTTCTTCTCAATTCCCCTCTTTTCTCCAACACGAATCCCGAGACAAATTAGGGCTGCTTGGAGATTACGTGAATCACTGACGCTTCTCGGCGAGCGCGGTGAAAAGTACAAATCTTCTCTTAAATGTGAATTTAAGACTGTTCGGAAATGAGTTCTTCAAATTAACAATTGATTGAGAAAATCTGTGCGGTTTTTAATACACGTTACAACGTTTTAATTTATCAACGACGCTCAGTTAACTTATATATTTGCCACGAAACAAATACAAAAGAGAAAGAACCGCACGAATTTAGCTAACGACGCACGATTGCATTTTCTTTCACGTTTTTTTTTGCATATATTTCATACACTTTTCTCCTACTTTTAACATTCCGCTCGTCATTATTATCGTATTTTTTATTGTTCGAGATCCATAAAGAAATACATCCCGTACGTATTGTAACGATTAAAATAGATATGTTACCTATTCTTCTTTTAACTGCACTTTCGATAACATATACTTTTCTGCATTTTTCTTTCTTTTTCCAATCTTGATATAATATATAGATTTAAATATCCAGTCTTTCAAACATGTAAGTTTAAAAGATGTTTTTACGACGTCTTTTGGATATGTGTACACATCTGTCTGGGTACATCTTTTTATACATTTTAAATGCAGAAAATGTTATGTAACGCAGTTGAAAGAAGCGGACCTAATTTTCGTATTGCCACCGGTAACAAATCGACGGTGACCGCGATGATTACGCTTACTCGCTCCGTTCTTTTTGCATATGTGATAAGGCCGATATTTTAAGTAGAAACTTGCGTCTAAGCGCGTGAATGCGTATGTATGTATGTATGTATGCATGCGAATTGCATGTGCCTATTTGAGGATTGTATGTGTATAATATAAGGGTAATGATAGTAAAGAAACAGTAATAATAGTGTAACTTTGCTCCAGATGTTGAAAGATTTTGAATAAACTTCATTCAAATAAAATTCAAATAAATCTTTTACATCCTTCAATTCGCTTGACCATATTGTATACATATCTCTCTTACCACATAATATATTTTTTCGTGTATTTTTTATCTTACTTGATATCGTCAATTTTTTTTTTTTTTTTTAAATAATGATTCGTCATAAAATAAGAAACAAATGATATGCAAGTTAGGGGAGACATCTGTAAACTGTCTTCCGAACTTGAAGGCTCAAACACAATGCCATGCAGGCAACAGGCAACAGGGGCAGGGAATAGGATTTCTGACGCATTGAATTGGTTGGAAGAAAACTTGGGACGAATCCAACGCGTGGAAAATTCTATTCCCTATTCCTATATTTCCTATTGCCTGGCATTGTGTGATAGGCTTTAGTCTGTTGTCATACGTGAAGCGTGGTGAAGCGTTCGCTCTGCGTCCCATCGTGGTCACGTTTTATGCCACGCTAATCGGGATAATCCGCCGATTAATGCAGTTACCCGCGGCGTCGATGCGTCCTTTGCTACGTGCCTTTGTAAGTGTCTCATCGTCGTCGGCATTGCGCGAGAGAATCTCGGATCGCACATCGCGTTTGCGTCAGACTGCCATGCGCTACTAAACTGTTATGAAATAGGTCAAGGTACAGTCAGAGTCAATGGTGGCAAATTTGAAATAACAAAATCACTTGTCTGTATTAACGCATATACATACAATTTATATCGATGTATATATTAATTTTACCTAATGTATATATTAATTTTACTCGTTTTAATTTTAATACTTTCAAGTCCATAGCAACCAAACCGTGTGTCGACATGAATCCCGCCCTGAGACCCGAAGTCGTTCTTTCGGAGAGCAATCGCAAGGCTTGCATCGAGAAATTCAAGAGCATCCGAGTGCCAAAATTGCGCGACAGCAGAGAAGCAGCCGTTTTAGTCCCGTTATGTTTATATAAAGGAGAGCTCGGTTTGCTATATACGCTGCGATCCATGAAGCTCACATCTAACCGAGGACAAGTTAGTTATTTACCAATGTTTCAGTTTAGTCGACCTTAACTGGCTCTTGTTTAATAAATTCAAATACAAATAAAAATGCAAATACAATGTGCAACGTTTCGACCATGTGTTTGGGTTCTTAGCAAGCACAAATTCCTAAAATTAATCGATATCAAAATTGAGTCGTTGCAATAAGTCGTTGAAGAGTAAAAAAATTTTTATGTAACAAGTTGAATCACGATTATAAAATCAACAGCACAGATTGAATATGTCCAAAGTTATTTATTACTGGCAATCTAAAGAGATTCATGTTTCAATATTTAAAAAATTATAAATTTATATGCGAGTAAATGCAATTTTTAATTTGTAAAATTTTGCTTTTTAAATTGATTTAGAGGAAAGTCCTCTATTATGAGACAGCAGGTTTTCAATATAGCCAAATTCAATCACAAGTCTTTTTCGCAACGATGACATTTTCCACTAAACAGATTTCGCTCCAAAGGCAATAAATTCATGGTGGAATCAACTGATGACGGTGCCGATTAATTTAACAGAAATCCCGCTATTAGGATCTCGTTTCATAATAGGAGACTTTTCTCTATGAGAGTGTCTGTTGTAGGTGTCCTTTCCTGGTGGTATGCGCGACGAGACTGACGTCGATCTGCAGGAAACCGCGTTGCGAGAAACCTGGGAGGAGCTCAAGATCCCCAGGGAGAAGATCGACGTATGGACCATGGGAAACCTCATCGGCAAGGGCGATGTCAACGTCATGCCTGTTCTAGCTTATATCGGCGAGGTGGTGCCGGAGAAGCTGGAGATCAACCATGATGAAGTGGAAGATACGTTTGTTGTTAGTTTGCAGAAATTGTGCGATCCTGAGCTAATTAGTTTCACAAGTTTCCGCCGTCCAGTTGTTACTCTGCCGTGTTACCTCGGTGGAAAGTACCGTGTCTGGGGATTTACCGGCGCTATCACTCATATGGTACTCGAATCCTTGGTGCCACAGGTCTACGAATACAAGTACTTTTCAGTAAAACCGATGCAGAACGATAATTTTAATGATAAATGCGAACATAAGTCCCAGTCTACAATAGAGGATTTAAGCCCTAAGCTTTAAGAAATTGACCAATCACGGTCAAGTACGAGTAGAATACGCGATTGTGATTAGTCAATTTCTTGAGGCTTAGGGTTTACATCTCTATTGTAGACTGGGACTAATGCAACGCACTCGAAGATATAAAGGATATGGTAGAGTATAAAGGTTAGAATGGGAAATACAGGGAAATTTTTATGAATTCAAATTTCAATGCTGATAGATTTCCATGTTTGTGTAACAATACTCAAAATTATTGGCACATGGACATGATATTTTTCTTATTAAATTTGATCCATTAAAATTACATAGATTTTAAGTATTGTGTGTAAATTTTGTTTGCATGCCCTGGTGAAAATTTTTCTCAGAATTTTGATACGAATTTGTACACTTATCAGAAGTACTGAAAAAGTTCACTTCTTTTTCATATATGTCAATATTCCGAGATGTCCCATTTTTAACATCTCTCATTCTATAATTGCTGAAAAACTTGAAAAATTTTTTTCAGATCTTGTAAGATTACGTCTGAAGTTATAGAATAAGAAATCTTAAAATATCTCAGAATTCATGCATGTGAAAAATTCTAAAAAAAAAGACAAACTTTCTCGGCATTTTTTAAAAATGTACCAATTTGTATAAAAAATCTGAAAAATTGTCAAGTTTTTATAAAAATTATAAAAAAATTATATGAAAAATTTTCATCGGTATGGTTAATAGTCTAGGAAAAACTATTGGAAATTAATCGTTAATTCCGTAAGTTTTGAACGGAATCGACTTTAGATATTTTATAACAAACTTGTTATGAAACTTTTAGCAGATTTTATACACATCTGTGCTTCAACGATTATACCCAGATAGCCAGTGTGGATACAAGTTGCTTTCTATGTCATCTATTGTGCTGTTGTTTGCTATAGCATTTGATGTCGAAAATGAAACATTTGTAGGATCCAAACATTATGCTAGCATTAAATGTTTGGCCAGATGTAATAGATATAATATGTTTGTACCCGTTAGAAAATTGAAAACAATTTACGCTAACTTTTGTTAACAGTATGCCCATTCGATGTGCACTTAACTACGACAATATGTTAACATTATGCCAGCCGTACTTAAATCACTCTCAAACATTGAATTTATATTTCTAGTGAAAAGCTAGTATCAGTTTCTGCCATTTTATTTACATATGTCGCTTGAGCATACTGGCTATCTGGGTAATTATTGAAGGAAGATAAAGCAATGATATTTCTATCTTTTTATTGATTGATAAAAAATAAACTAATAAGAAAAAGATGTGTATATTTTTTCCTTACTCCTTTAGTGTGTATGAGCAGGATTTTTCATTCAATTCCTACAAGATATACACATGCACTTAGTTGACTGAGCAAGATCAAACTTGCAACTATTTTGTCATGTTATTACTTTTTTTTTACATATAACATGTAATTACTTTGGGATAAATAATGCAAAATTACTTTCAAGACACATAAAATTAAAATAAAATTTATTTAGAGCGAGAAAAAAGAGATATATTCACCTTTCGTTTCCATGTGTAAATATTTTATTATGTTTCATGCAGTGTCTAAATATTTGAAAACGATGGGCCACAATGACGAGACACAGCTTTCTCAAACAGAGCTTAAGATTAAGATGGGTATACAAGTTTTCAGTGAATCACAGCCAGAATTTGAAATCTAGCTTCTTCCCTCATTTGAACTATATCCATTATCTCGTTGTGCAAGTTTACAAATTATAGTACAGAATTTATACTAACTAAATAAGAACCACATTTGCTCGAGTGTATGAGAGTAAGCAATTTGTTTTTTATTTTAAATACACATCTTCAGTAAGAAATGTAGAATATTCCATGAAATTCACGATACTGTGCCAAAAAATATGTACGACAGTTGTAGAAAAATTATACAATATTAAAACGTTTTCTTACTTGCTAAGTTTTCATTAGAAGAGATGCAATTATCTTCAATCTAGAATTCCGATTATAGATTGAAGATAATTATAATTATCAGGAATATCAGGCCATATCGAAGTACACCATTGTTTCTGGAATTAATATAAATACTACGTGCGAGCACACCGTACATCTACAGTTTGACACGTATACAAATGCTTCTCTTTCCGACAACACAATAACTGCCATATAACATCATATAAAAAACAAAAACGTTATGTACACATAACAAAATAATACAATTGCCGTTTTTCTGTTCAATCTAAACGCAACGTGCAATCGACAGATCCGCGCGATGACGTCTGAGTGAACACCTCAATGTTTTTTGGTTCCATTTTTAGCGAAATAGAGTTTTGAATGACGGAATCAATATATACACATATACATATATGTATATATATGTATATATATACACACATCGGCGTAACATTTAATATATTTCTGCCATAAGTAGTACCACCAAGGAAGTCCAGCCGGTGAAAGGGTGGCTCCCTTTACCCTTGCCCTCCGCATCGTCGTAATGCTCCCACAAATATCCGGTCTTCCTGTACTGCGTGATGATATTCTGTATCAAGTTCTTTCGCAGCTCTTGGTATAGCCTTCTCGCACTTTCTCGGTGCGGTCCCGCCACGTTAGAGTAATGATATGCGGCTCGCACTGTCAAGTAATTGAGATTTATCCAGATGGGACCGCGCCAGTAAGGCGCGTCGTGTTCCGTGTTGTGTTTCATGTAGATAGGCGACGTTTTCGCGAGCGATCGTAGCCCGTACTTTGTCCAAAGCAAATCGGGATCCCGCAGATCCTGCAGTATCTTCCCCAGTTGCGGCGAGTCGGGCTCGACGATCTGCAAAATGAAGGGGAACAACGATACGTATCCGAAGGTCGTGTCGACGAACCTTAGAGACGGATTTTCCAATACGACGCGTGTCATTTCTGCCGGTGCTACGTTGACCTGCTGCAGCTTGCGAGGTGGCGGAGGCGTGAACTGCGGCGTGACTTTCCGCAGAACCACCTTGTCGGTGTGCAAGCCGTAATCGGCATACGCTTGCGCATTCGGTGACCAATGTAGTTTGTTCAACAAGTTATTGTCAGACAGATGTTGGAATGTATTTTGGTACTTGGTAGCGGGATAGTTTAGTGTTTCGGCGATTTTGGCCATGACGCGAGCGGCGAACGCGACCCAGCAACGCAAGTCGACGTGACGCTCGACGACGCTTGGATGGGAAGCCCTGGGATAATCGTCCAAGCCGGATGTGAGAGTTTTGGGATTCAACTCTTTGGTAGTCTTCTCGTCCCTGCCTCGCCATCTGTACGTGCTAGGCAGCTCGCCGACCTGCGTGACGTTGAACCAGGAGAACCACGCCTGCAACCGTGGATACAGTCTGTTGAGCAACCGAAAGTTATGCCTCAGCAAGTCCTGTTCTTTGCGCTGGAGCATAAAGTCCAGTGTTAAGAAAAATGTAGGCGGATTCGCGTTTGTGTTGATCTGAGTCACGAACTCCGCGGGCACTTTGGCCAGAGCTTCCGGGCCTAGGATCATCTCCCTCGGTATCCAGCCCTCGACGTTCATCAGATCGAACCAGTGGCTTATGATGTCTAATTCGATCTCTGTGTCCCAGGCCGAGATGAGTAAACCGTGAAAACCCTCGTCCCATAGGAAACCCCGCGGGAAGAAGCTTCTGCTTGGTACAGCAGTATACAAAGGTGCTTTCCAGTAAGGCACAGGTCCCTTGTTATACTTACTTTGCACTTGCGAACTCCCGTAAAAATAACCTATTGAGCCTATAAGATTCGAGAATGCCATCTTCGCGAACGTCACCTCGTCGTCCGTGTATCCCTTGGACTTGAGCTTGAAGACGCTCTCAAATTTCTTGGAGAACAGCTCCCTGTGCTCCTTAAGCGCCTCGTCGTAGTTGCTGCCCGTTAATTTCTCTACCCTGTTACTAAAACTGCCGGATTCGTAACTGACTTCGATCTCAAAGGGGACCTTTCCCGTCACCTGGATGACGATTAAGTTTGGATCCTTCTTCTTGCCCTCGGGCAGCATAGGCAATTGTTCGCCAGCCAAGACTACGTGTTTCTTCATAGATCCCTTCTGGGTCGCGACGCGGACATTTTGCAGAATTGTTTCTTTCAACACAGCCAGACCATACGTGACTGTCGCTAGAAAGGAATGCTCTTCTACCGTGCCATTTATTAGATTTACGTTTATGGCGAAGGATCCCAATCCATGGGTATTGCCTTCTATTCCCGTCAGACGATTGTAGTCTCCTACATTGGCCTTTATCCAGCCCTTCGTGCCTTCTTCGATAGCTGTGTAAAATAACAGCGACACGTCTTCTCCGACCCGTTGTTTTTTCGGCGATACCGCGATTCTCGCAGTCCAGTCGCCGCCGTGATATCCGCCAGCTTTCTTGACGAATGTCGTCCTTATCACTACAGGGTTATCTACTATTTCCTGAACGCCAAATGTTCGTCCGTCGTGCTCCAGCCACGCGTATCTAGCGTTTAAACGTCGATTAGTTGTTGATCAGTAAATGAGCATTTCCAATTGAAGAAGATTTTGATTACACTACCTTTCTAATTCATTGCCTTGCTCGCACCAGTGTCTAAATCCAGTTCCATCGTAGGGCAGATAACGTGGAATGTACCACATCAGACCAGTCACCAAGGATTCCGGGTCTCTTGTTTTTAAACCGAAATACACACCGGGTCGATACGTGCCCCAATATCTGTCCGGGTCATCCAATCCAGATGTAGTAACTAGCTAATTTTCAAACAGCATTCAATTACAAAATTGCACGTATTCGATCGTACGGAGAGTATACATATACGAAACGTATCACATATCTAGCTAATCTCTGCAGCCAATTAAACCTCGGCAGCTTTCATATATTGAACGAAATACCATTGCAATCAGTCTATTCTGTAAAAATGCTCTGTAACGCTGTACTTTTACAAACTACGTAGCTCCTTGTACTATGAACACTCTATAAACTCTACACAAGTTCTATATGCCAATAAATACTCTATAAAATTCTATATAAACTCTACAAACCATGTAACTCTACATAGTACTGTAGAGCAGGGGAAAAAGAGCAAACAAAAAGACAACCAGAGCGAGAACTTGTAGAGCAAGATTCTCTTACAGAATACACTCCTGTATCTCATAATTTTGGTAGCACTATTCTGCAACGTTAAGTTACAGCGCAATCTTAAGAGCATGTAAAATTATTCGGTGGATCACGTGCCTTCTTTACATCGTACGGCGTGTTAACTCTCGTTTCACAGTATCCCTTGTACCCGAACCAAGCGGCAACGCTTATACTCGCGATGACGACGATAACATTAAACGGCATAGTCCTACGCCACATACTCTTACTCGTCCTAGGCTTGGCTTTTATCTTCACGCTTTTCTCTTGCACCTTGCTCTTCGCCATTCTAAGTATTCTGAAACAAACAAGTCTCAGTGAGCACGCTGATATACACGAAATAATTTAACAAGATCCCCGGTGAAAAAAAGTTCTTATGCGTCTTAGATTTTAAGAATTTTGTCATGCATTACACGTATTGTACCTTCAACTGATTTCGCGAGGAGTAAACTTTATTATCGCCAGTATATAATTAATATAATTCGAGACGAATTAAAAGGATTATTAAACCACGGTCGAAACGTTGGATGTTAATTTATTGAATAAATAATACCATCTGCCAGTAGGGTCGTTTAATAGTCCTTTTAATTCGCGATTGTGCGAGCTTCGTCAGAAATTGCAGAATGAGAAATCGTGGAGTATTTCAGAATGCACGTATATGAAAAATTGTTGGAAGGAGAGGCACGCGAGCTCTCTCAACACTTCGGAAAAGTGTTCCGATTAAAACAACCTGAGAAATTTAATCCGAAAGGCCAATTCGTGTGCAAGTTCTGAGAAATTGTACGAAGAATTGTAAGGGAAGTTTTCGCCGGGGGAGTCTTGTGCCGAAATAAACAAAGGTAACGCCTTCAATCGCGGCAAGCCACGGCTGAGAAGGTTTAATCCTCCTTCCGTTAATTGGATTACTCTTTTCCACCGTTTCGCCGGTACTACGATTTGTGTACATATCCTAACTCAACGTCGCCGAGTGCGGGAATTGCTCGATCAACTATTCGCAAATGTCACGTTTAATCATGACCGTGTCGGTCCAGTTGTAGGCTAGAGGGTCAGAAAAGAGAAGATGATGAAGAAGCAAGTATCACGTTTAACGTTTCGCGTCGCCATACGGCAACTTGAACGGGAAAGCTCGAGCTCGACCTGAACCGCCTGGACGTCGGCAGGATCCGCCGAGCGAAGGATATGACGTACGAGGTCCATCGATCGCGCGAAGGCGGAGTCCAGGCCACTCCAGGGCACAGGTTGCCGACGGCAACGGGGACGGCGGGAACGAACCTTGCGTAGTAAAATAAAGCGCGAAATGAGTCCTCTCTTTCTCCTCCTCTCTCCTGGCGGCGCCGGGAGACCGAAAAATTGGCCGAGATCACCGCGCTCCCCCCGACATGTGGCGGCACGCGCGGTTTTAGGTTATCTCCCGTCGACGCCGCGCTGCTCGTAACGCGAGACCCCGCGAGAGCCCCGCGATAAGAGAAACGACGCGTGTCCGTTGAGCGGTGCACGCGCCGCGGTCATGAATGCGCTCGCGGCCGAGACATCCTTGGGCAACATGAACACGAGGAGCCCTCGCGACTTCGGGTCAGTGCACGAAGCGACGTTAATAGCTTACGACGCGGACGTAAGCGTAGACGTAGATTAGCGCGTTTACATATGACGTTACATTTACGCCAAGGCTCGTGCGCTAATCTACGTTTACGCTTACGGTTTTGTCGTAAGCTACTACGTTGCTTTGCGCTCTGACCCTTTACAGTCTCGCCGGCGTCGATATTGTCGTCGTCGTCGTCGAAATCGGCGAGACAAGACGCCGCGACACCGCAAAAATTATCTTGCGTATGGCAGAGAACGTTCTTAGCCGTAGACGTAAGGCAACATAAGGGCCTGAGCTGAATGGCTGTCTTGTACCTTTGACATAAGAGTAAAAGGCAGCTATTCTTAAGTCACAAAATAGTTATTGTGTGTAAGGCCCGGTCTACAATGAGTCGTTAGTCAGAAGTCGGAACTATATGTCGGTCCTTTTCCTTCCACCCAGAAAGGAAAAGGATCAACATATAGTTGCGACTTCTGACTAAGGACTAACGACTCATTGTAGACCGGGCCTCAGGGCTTGAGCAGAATGGCTGTCTTATATTCTTAAGACAGCCTTAAGACAATGTTTTATGTTTGAATTTGTCTTAAAGTAACGCACAATAACTGTCTTACGTCTGAAGAGTACAAGACAGTTAGGGCCTGAGCTGAATGGCTATCTTGTACTTTTAGGACACAAGAGTATAAGACAGCTATTCTGTTCAGGCCCTAAGTCGTGGAAGGCTATTGTATACGACTAAGGGCCTGAGCAGAATAGCTGTCTTGTATTCTTCAGTCACAAAACAGTTATTGTGTGCAAGGGGTTGAGCAGAATGGCTGTCTTATATTCTTAAGACAATGTTTTATGTTTGAAGCCTTTGTCTTGAGGTGACGCACAATAACTGTCTTATGTCTGAAGAGTACAAGACAGTTAGGGCCTGAGCAGAAGGGCTGTCTTGTATTCTTAAGTCATAAGGCAGTTATTGTGCGTTTTAAGACAAAGATTTCAAACACAAAACATTGTCTTAAGAGTACAAGACGGCCATTCTGCTTAGGTCCTTATTGTGCGTTACTTCAACACAGAGGCTTAAAACATAAAACATTGTCTTAGGCTGTCTTAAAGGTATAAGATAGCTGTTCTGCTCAGGCCCTTACTTTAAGACAAAGATTTAAAACACAAAACATTGTCTTAAGAGTACAAGACAGCCATTCTGTTCAGGTCCCTACGTTTTCCTCCGCCTTGCCTTACGTCTACGACTAAGGTCCGGTTGCACCAACGTCGCTTAACTTTAGCTTAACTCACCTTTTGTCTCTTTCCAAGGGAAACAGTTAAAAAGCTCCCAAATGTTGGAGCTTTTCGATTTAAAGGAGAGAATGCAGTCGCGCGGATTATGCAAAAAATTCTACCCTTACGTTTTTTTCTTATCACTGGGTCAATGTAGTCGAGTTTTTATTTTTCCTTTTGTCCCTTTTCCCCATGATTAATCTCTACGTGCTGCGACGTGCCTTCTCTGAATAAGCTCTTTCTGAATTTTAATTGTAGTTGGAGAAAAATCCTTCTGTTGAGACTGAATTCTTTTTTAAAAGAGGAGATTGAAAAAGGGACTATACAAAAGTCAGTGCCGCCCAAGGAGTACGCAAGAGTCAAAAGACCGTGATGTAGGAAAGTTTTTCAAAAGTTTCAACGTTGTCTGCTCCTACAATCTTTTATTCTCCGCAACGATTTGTCTCGCTTTTCTTTACCTACTTCAAGCCACCAGTACAAGTGGAGGGTGCTACTAGGGAAATAAAGATTAAAAATACACCCTTCCAATGATTTCCCGATCGACCGCCTCTAATCAATCGAGCCGCGATCTCCAGCTAACTTGGACTTGTCCGCAAAATCATTTTATAAAGTTCGAAACGCGCCTTCGGATGCGCCCGTCGAGTCAACAAAGTGCGTCGCTTAACAGTTTTTAATTTATTTATTCAATAGTTGCGTATATTACAAATAAAGCGCTGACTATTACACGGTAATCACATATTTAGGGAAGAGCCGGCGGTACATTACGCCGTTTACATTGTTCGCTAATTATTTGATTAATATTCAGTGGTGTCTTCCATCAAATCACCGGTGGGGAGGGAGTCAAGCGGAAAACAGCTTTCCAGGGGCGAGGGAGAAACAACGTGAAGATATCGGGACCCCCGGTCGTCTCCGTTTTCGCTCGCACTCCGACCAATCCTGTACAAGCCTCTTCCTCTCGGTCGTTTCGCTTCTATCAGCTCCCGAGGCCCCTCTTCGCTTCTCCCACGTGTCTTTTCCAAGATGAGCCGTTTGAGCCGCAAGCCGCGCGTTATGTACAATGCCATCGGCGTCGCGGACTTCTCGCGTCGTTAAAGAAAAAAAAATCGGATGCTCCACCTCGGGGAACGCGTCTCGCGTTTGCGAGTTGCCTCGTTTCGCTTCGCGTTCCTATCATATCGTACATGTACACTCGATACAAGCCTCAACTGCTCGCTCACAATTACATGCCGGCGCCCTAAACTTTACAGCATGACTTAGTTGCGTATATTTATATTTATATATATATATTCTTTTTTTACCCCTTATATAAATACACATTTGTTCTGCGAACGTAGGTGGTTGTCCCTCGAGTCGACGCATTTGCTGCCTGCCTATGTTAGAATATCATTTTATGTAACTTTTCTCTTTTTCGTATATAAAAAGACAATGAAACTGCAGTCGGAGTAGGACCGATCCTGTGTCCGGGCGCGAAACTCAGGGAGAGAGTGGAAAAATTAGGTCCGCGAGGTCGTCGTTGTTGCGCGAAAGGCTTGCGTGTAACGATGCGTAGGTCCAAGCTGACCCCCTTTTTCTTAAAATTGCACGAAACCCAGCTGGAAAATGGAGGTTGAGGTGAAACAAGACAGAGACTTGTATTATTTACATAGGAGTGTCGCGAGTACGAGTTATCAGGATCATTCGTACGCCAGTGCCCTAGAATATTCTCCTATTGTTACACACATATATGCATATGTATATATACATGTATATAAATACGTATATAGGCTGATTTGTCTATTGCTCTTGGAGAGAATCCAATGTCCCCTTGCTTGAGCGTGGAATGAAAGATAATCCCGCAGTGTCATGCGCGTTACGTTGTGATAATTATTGCTCGCTGAAGTAAAGTGAAAGGGGGGTAAATCTTAAATATAAAGATATAAACTTATAGCCGTGAGATTATCGGTATATAGAGTCGAGACGGCGTGATTTTTCGATAATAGCACCTGAATACATCGAGATATCGCTGATATAAAGATCGCTCGTACATGTATATTATGTATATATGTGTATATATACACACAACATATATTCCTCTTTGTTAAATAATATTGTAGCGCCGATGTACCTGCTGTTATTTTAGCATCATACACGATCCCCTTACAGCGGTGATTTTGCAATTTCCTTTGCTACATGTTAGAGACCTTGTTTCTGCGTTCCTTTCCTCCTCGAGATAAATAATTTAAGGAACGTAGAATTGGTAACGAATGGTCGAAAGGTGCGCGATACAATAGCAGTACGTAACTTATGTATGTAGATATTCTTGTCTAAAAGTATAAGTATTGCCATATGTGTAGGGTTCCAAAATCTACCAAGCTACGTTTTACATTTCCCTTTGAGATTACTTTGGAACCGATTCTCTAGAAAAGTTGAAATGACCCATGGATAAGAAGGTGTGGGGGGGATCTAGAACACCCTGCAAATTATAATATCATAAATATTTGTGTGGAAGGGAAAAAGTATATTTTATGTACGTACGTAAAAGAGACCGTTTCTTTATATAAGGGACATAGTGACTATAATTAATTGAAAAATATAGATCTATGTATAATTATTATTAGGATAATGTATTGAATAATGATAATTATTACTAGGAGCTTGACAAAATTTCGATTAGCACTCTGTCGTCCTAATAAGCCGTAAACTAAGCGTACAATTAAATGCTAATCCGCGTGTACCATTGCTTCTCTCGCTCGTAATAATAATACTTTGAAAACCTCGGTGATTTATAGTCATTTTGCGCTGTTGTCAGTTTACCGGATGATTTACCGACTAAGAATTTTTCGCCTTCAACACTCGACATAAAGTGTACGCTACAAAATCTCCAAACGTCAACAATATATAATATAAATAATTTATCTATTTAAAGAAAGTGCAACAGTATTATAAATTATATATGCCTCGATAAAATTTTAACAGCACTAATAATCCTCTCCCTATATATCGGCTTACTTCTCCTTTTATCTCTATTAAATATTTATAAATACAACTTCAATATACCATTTTCTAAATTGCATGAAACTTGAAATAAACTATCCTTTATACGCAACGAATTGCACAAGTATGAATATATCTGTATATATACCTATGCACGCAGGCATCTATATATACATATAAACATACTTTTTACGTATGTATAAATGTGTGTATCGTGTATGTGTTAGTAACTAGTAATTGTACGTTGATGTTGCTTGCTTGCTTGCGAATAGTACTAAATATTTCAAACAATATTAATATATAATTCGCGTAACGTACTCACCCTAGATACATAATACTCTATTTATTACACAACAGTACAATTAAATATAATACTATCGGCATTAAAAACAAATTGATTAATACGAATATTGTGTTCTAACTCTTGTCGTCATTGGGAACGCACCGAACGTATGATATCTACACACGCGAATTACAATCTTTCTATAAACTCAATGCAATATGTTCGTATACCACGTTGTGTCATTATGTGTACTATGTACCTAAATTTCGACGTACTTTCCTAATAGTGTGTTTCCATAAATATTTCACTACTGCTTCCTTTTTTTTTACAGATAATATATCATTTTACTAGTGCCGTAAACACGAATATATTCTACTTAAATAAAGGAAAAAAGATTCTCATTCTCTATGTCATAGTCTCCGTTTAAAGATAACAAAAGCACACGACGCAATAACAATCAATTCTATCACGTGCATATAAGTGAATAAATGATCAGAAACGTGACAGCTCTAAAGAGAGAATAACGTGATAAATATTATTAAACAATTGGAATAGTGAATATCGCTACATGTATCGACAGAATTGTAAAGTTTCGTAGTTATTCCTTTCGAAAAGGAATTTTATATTTTATATAAAGCAAACGTACAATCTCTTTTGATTGATACATGTATCTTACGTGTTTATATCAAACTGCATTAGAAAGCAAGAAGGTGGAAAAAAGAGTTAGATTGTAAGAATTCAATGTTGCCTGTGTCTTCATAAATAATAGCATATACATTTCAACGAAAAAACATACTCGACAATTGTATCGACAGCCAGCGCTTATCACTTAGATCTCTTTCTGAAATAGAGCCATAGGAATCCGAATGCCTCGTGTTTCTCGTTTCATTCTCTTTTCCTTTCAAATATTAAATTTGATCACTCTTTAATGAAGACTCATCCACCCTCTTTTGGTATATGATTTAAATTGACAACATCTCAACGCAAATGGACAGACGAATCAGTACATTCGTATCTAGCATGTGTCTGTGAAAGTACATGTAGATCACCGTTTTTTTCGGTATTATGGAATTTTAACGTAACAACGAATCTTGTTCCGGCATCTCGTTTAGAAAAGAAACGTTTCCAAATATACACATGCTCCTGCCATTTCTCATAAAAAATGTATCAATTTCTCATCTAAAAAGTTTCAGGTTGTTGTTTCGTATTAAATTTCTTGAGATTTCGTAAAACTCCCGTCAACACAAGCACGCGGTTGATATATTCATAAAGGAATGGTTGTACCAAAATGTTACATTTCTCAGAAACATGCTACGGATATCAATTTGTAAGCGATAAGCTACTTACAAATTGATATTAATGTGCTGATTGGACTGGCCAGTTGCGTTGATTACGGTTCATTTCCTTAAACTGTCTTTGCTACTTGCACGGCTGGTTGAGGCTGTGCTAGACTCCCCTGGTCCACCGGTACCACCTGCATCGCCATTGATGCTGGAACCGGCGAGTGAAGCAGTAGGCGTCACTGGCGCCGAACGCCTCCTTACTTTCGTTAAAGCTTTGTCCAATCTTTGTATGAATGCATCCACGTCGGACCTCTTCATGCCTAACGCCGCCGCAGCAGTCAGATATGGAACTCTATAATTGCTGTTGTGTGCACCCCAACCTGCGCGAACGATTCAAGTAAATACATGTTACGAAACGGAATTCTTAAATGTGATTTATACAAAGAAAGATGACAAACTTGATATATGTCAGAAACGTAATTAAAAATATATATACCTTCAAACTTGTGTGTAACAATGTGCTTAGAATCCGTGGTCGTTATTACTCTAGTACCACTAACATTACGCAGAAATAGCATTGATCCTAGCATAGTAACTTGCTTGTTGTCGTGCTGATGGCTCAAGCACTGAAGAGTCATAGCCATGGATATTGGATTGCCCTTAGTGTCTAATAGCCTCTCGCCGTGCCTCGTCGCCAGCTTTCCCAATTCCTCTTTCAGGTAGGAATACATTTCCTTACGTTGAGCAATCAATTGTTTGTACCCTGCCATCCCAAGACTCAGCAGCGTTATCATGACGTCCATGACGGAACTCGCGCTCGCGCGTCCTGGATACATTTTCGATATGCGATCTAAGAGATTCTTGTCGAAGGAGCCTATGATGGCGCCGCCCACCGGCACCAGGAAGTTCTTGTCCGTGCTTTGAACGAAAGCGTCCACTCGACCCTTCCTCGACGCCTCTTGTATCAGATGCATACATCTTGTGCTCTGCAAGCTTTTAGCAATATAGTGCAATACATTTAGTAAGATCGCTTTCAATCGGTACATACCTCGATATCTTGGCACTAACGTCAACGGCGGTCAATGACACTCCCGAGTAAAAAATTCTAGAGCCGAGCGACGCGGCCGTTTAGTGCCGAGATATCGGTCTAGTGACGCGCACAGAGAGATTGCGCGTCCCTTTCGCTTACCCGTATGCATTGTTCACCAGGTGCGGTATGTTGTACTGGCTGCAGAGGGCCGCGATCGCGTCCACGGAGTCGCACGCTCTGGGCGCGAAGCAGCTGGTCGTCGTGAGCACGCAGGCGACACTCTCGCCCAGGGCCGCCATCTGAGCCTCGAGTCTCTGCATGTCGGTTTTCAGTTCGTCCCCTATTATTTGCATCTCGATTACGACGGGCTCCAGGCCGGCCGTGATTATAGACTTGAAGCTAGACTTTTGGTCGATTCTAGGCCATAAAACGTACTTCGCTCGTGGTCGGTCCTGCTTAAGCGTTAACATACATAGGACTAGGCTCATTCCCGTGGCCATTGGTGATAGGAAGCAGCCCGCTATGCTCTTCACTCCTGCCAATCAAAAGTATTCCCCGTTAGACGCCGAAGGCTTTTCTGATCAATCTGATATCAAGAATCTCTCTCTATCTTAAGTCACAAAAGCTAATCTCTCCCTGCGCGTGTGCCTCCTTACCCATATATCGTATAACTTCGAGCACTAAGGAGTTGGTTAATTTATACATTAAGCTGCTACCAGCAGCCTTCGGTTGTACTTCCTCTAGGTCGCCGGATCTACCTATGCCGTGCCCCATACGAAAGTGTCGCCTCGCGACGATGTTGGACACGATCCTCGCCTCGCGCTCGCCGACGCTGCAGTTGGAGGGGAAGTTATTGCTGTCCATCTGCGACAGATCCGACAGAAACGCCTCTATCGTCGCGTCGTCCCAGCCCTCCTCTGGCCATTTTCGCTGATAAACACATTGCAAGAAGATACACGTAGAGTTTGCCGCTCCACTGACGCTCCTCGCCAGTGTAAAGCAACTCGGATCTCGGTTCGGCTTCGTTTTCACGTGTCCATTTTCTACCGCGGTACGCGGAGAGAATTTTCTCTAAATTTCAACGATCCCTCGTTAAACTCCTGCCGGGTTGTCTCGCGATTACACGACTTCCAGGATAAATCCTGCGAGAAAATTCCCTCCGTGTAGATTTGGAATCTCGACGAAGCTCGCCCTCTCGTCCTCGCCTAGCTCCAAGAATTGGGGAAGAGGTGGAGAGCAAGTTGAAAGTCAATCCACGTCGACAGAGGCGAACAATGGAATTGGGAGAAGTCGGAGGACGACCTGAACCGAGCCCGAGGTCGCTCCACATTGGCGGAAGGCTTACATATTGACTTACGTGCTCGATAAAGTGCCGTATAAGGTTCTCGCGGGACTTCTTGGCGTTCAGGCCCTGCTGCACGTAGGTCGACGGTATCAGCCTCTCCGCCAAGCTGAACGCCTGATTATTCATCTTCGCAGCTCGTGGTGGGTTTACCCTCGCGATTACTTTAGTCCACACGCTTCTTCTCAGTGCACCATCGCCTCGGCAGTCGGCGGGAGACGTTCACCGTTGCTCATGTCGCTCCTCTCACTCGGCTACAGAATACTCCCGTGTGAGTAAAAGAAAGGGGAAAAAAACGTGACCTCACTCATTCCCTCGCGCTAAAACGGCGGCGTTTCGTCCGGGACAACCGAGTCTCCGCGCGTCCTCCACGAAGGAATCTAGAGGACTGCGTTGGTCCAGCGAGACTCGCGGAGTCGCGGCGGCGTAAACAGAAATCGAGGATGATCGCAACGCGGAGCGAGCGCAGGATTCTCACTCACGACGCATACTTACGGGGTAAAGGACGTATGAGAGAGTCCGTGCGGGTGTGAGGCGAGGAGTGGCGTGACGGGGGATGGCGGTGGAGGCGGTAAACGTGCGCGAGAGCGTGTGCACGGTAAATGAAAACACAAAAATAGTTGCGAGAGAACTGAATTTATTAAAAACCAGAGCGGGTGAGAACACAAGGAAACGAAAGCTCAGAGGTACAGAACGGATTGTATCCGCGAGATGACGTCCCGCGAGAACAAAAGTATACAGAACATAATCAAACTGAACATGGTGAGGTACAGCACGACGAAGACGTAGTGCATGTGTAGCGCAGCGCAACAAATGGTGCGACGCGACGACTCACGCGAACCGAGCGCGCGCGCGGACCCGCTGGGCTGCGTCCCCCGTTCAGCGGATCGTCGAGCGCCGACCGCGGGGCGAGAGGGTGCGAGGCGACGGAAGCGGAGCGAGGACGGACGTCCCCGCGCGGCCTTAAAGGTTATGTGGACGCGCTGCGCGTCGCGTACGAGACGGCCCGTCCCGCGGCAGCTCCATACCCGAGGATTCCGAGGCGCAGTGGGCGAGGCGAAGCGGGAGCGCGCAGCGGGGGGTCGACGCGAGACGCGGCGCGCGACACCCGGGACTCGCGCGCTTGGCTGCTGGGGGGGAGAAAAAAAAGTAACACGCGCTGGCCCGAGGAAGCTGGACTCCGAGTATCACCGCGGGTGCATGCGCTCGCGGACGCGTTGCGCGCATCAACCACCCGAGCGCGGCCGCCACAAATCAAAAGTGGGTTGGGCCGCGACGCGGAGCGTAGGCGCGGGGGGGGGGG